ACTTATTGGAATTGCATGAACCACAGACGTCGGACTGAAAAATGGATTGGTGCAAAGTGATGCTATCAGTGTCCCCTATCAGTGATACACATAAAAAAAGCTGTACAATCCCTTTAAATAAAACCCGAATGGTGTAAATAGAAGCTTTAAAAAACCTCTTTGAATCTCTCTTTATCTTGTTTTTGTGACAGCGACAGACAGGGGTTTGTTTTTGCTGCAGTTTTTAGTCACCCGTCATTCAAGTTAGATCATTCATTACTATCAGGTCGAGAACAAAAAGCTATAAAAAATTTTCTTGTTAAAGCGATAAACAAGTTTCACATTTATTTTTATTTATCGTCTTTTTTTTGGTGAAGTTTTTAGTCGCTCGCCATTCAAGTTATATCAGTAATTGTTACGAGACCTGTGTTTGGCAGATTAAAAGGGTTAATTTGATTGACAGGTTTCTAGATGAACTCCTCTTTTTATTAATTATTTATTATCGTTTTACATTGTTGTTTTGTTTACTTTTTTCTTATCGGTAAATAAAATCACGAGTCTTGTGTGGTGAGTAGGCTATTTACTTGCTGATGATGTGCAGAAGAAAAAAACACGAAACTAATCATCTTGATCAGATTGTCAGGTCCCGAAAATTTCAAGATTTTTTTTTTAAATCTCCAGTTAACATTAGTTTTCAACTCAATACGTCAGACTCGACCCCTTCTCGCTTATGGGTTATTTTCTGAGCTCACCCTCGATATTATTTCTGTTGACCCACCTTTAGTAGTGTCAGACAGTCCGGGGTAAGAGCAATGCCACGAGGATTGACTAAGGAACAGCTCATTGACAGGACTTTCAAAAACCTCGAATGTTTTACTTGTAACTTGTGGACGAGATTTTCTATCTTAAAATCCATTAATTATTCTTATTTAATTAACATAAATCTTTTTAATTATAATTTAGATACAAGTTTAAATTGCCAATCTGACTTTTTGACATCGGCTCGTCTTCCTGTTTACCCCTGATGACCTCGTGTGACCCCGTGTCAACTTAGGGGGCGGTGGTAATGTCTGAATGTAGGGTAATGTCATATGCTGGATTCGGAAATTGTTATATGTTTGAAATGATATTAATGATTGTAAATCAGTCACCAGTATTGTACGCTAGACTTATTCAGTAGGTCCAATGTCATCACTAAACGTTTGGCTGACGAGCCGGATTTAATTCCGACCTAGTACGACATAGTTGACCTATATTCAGATAATATCATTCCAGCTACCACCACTCAGCGATGCATTGCGGAGTTACTGGTATGGACAACCGTCTATTCGTTCCAATGGACAATAAATCAGGATCGCTTATTCTACACCTTAAAGATTCCTCGGCAGTGGGAAATAGAATAGAAATAGGGTAGGCAACTGCTCTCCCGGAAATCTCCCGTATACACAATATATTGGGGTAGCTTCCAATTTTCGTTATCCATTTCAGTAAATTTATTCTTAATGTAAAGTATCTATTGTAATCAAAGATAATAATAACAAGGAAGGGGGAAATACCTTGATACATTTTATCATCGACACTAATATCATAACCTCTTTCAATAGGCCTAATAAGGAAAAACTTTTATATTTTCAAATAGCTATAACGTTACGTCATGGTAAATATTTATAACAGCAACGTGGCGTTTTGTTCATTAATTAATGATAAACAAAAGTGGTTTCCCAAAAAAAAATATGTTCATAGATAATCTGGAAGAGAGGCTCAGGATCTTAGAGACCTCGAGTTATTTCCTTTGTTAAATATGGCCTTCTCTTCTATGAAATTTCCTGTTATTGCACATATTGTCAAGTTGGTGAACAGAATTCGAATAGAACATGACTTGCTATTCTTGTAAAATCAATGTCAAGATGTTCGGTCAAGGACTAGCTGATATACAGTAGGGTTGGCATGCAGGGGCGTAGCTGGAAATGCCTGAGGAAAAAAATGAGAGGTGTTTTTACGAGGCGAGGCCGAGGTATCGTATCGTAGTCCTTATATCGTGATAAGTATTGTAAACACCTGATACCACTTTTCATTATTATATTCTTATTCAGTTATAATTGATATGCTTCCTCATGTGAAAAGTTCATTGGCTGCTAGCAATGTATTGCCATTATGTGAGGTTCCAGGAAGGTATACTCTACTGATCACTTGATGCCATTTTTCACTATTAAATGCTTCCACATGGATTCGGGTGTTTTCAATGATTTTCTTGTTATAATATAACAATTATTGTGATCAGTTCCCTCCCTTGAATATTGAAATTAAAGAAATGTATTTTCATCAGTTACGTCCCTTGAACTTTTAAAATTCATCGGTCAAGTGTCAAGTCGATATTTGTTTTTGTTGTCATGTTTGTATTTGTATTTTGATGTTGAGCAGCTATGACGGGTATGCTTACTCTTCTAGACACCTGATACCACTTTTTATTATGAAAAAATGAAAAAATTATATTCTTCATGTGAAAAGTTCATTAGCTGACACCAATGTTTTGCCAGCATGCTGTTTGGATTTCCGGTTTCGTGTTGCGGTCGGGATCGTTTATTTATTCACATTTCTCTACAATTTGGCATTTGTTTTGCTAAATTTCATACATTTCCATTACGAACCAAAAAACATAGCGATGTTAAAATGTTTAGGTTCTATTTATTTTTTTAGTACTTGGTTTGTTTATCGTGATATAATAACCCAAGACTAAATGACAGGATACCCAGAACGTTGTAAAAAGATTAAATATTAAACTAGTTTTATTATTCTAGAAATAGCTAAGATGATTGACATAGTTGCTACATGTAGATTTGGTCTACATTTTAACAATGGATTGAGTGGGACAAAAGATAAACAACAAAACATCTTGTCATTTCTATACTAGGCTAATAGGTCGGGACTTGACCAGATTTTTAGGGTTTTTTGTATCAAAATATAGGTAGCTTTGTTCAATTGTTTAAAAATATATCGTCATACTTTGTATATTAAAGTTGTCAAATATATCATTATCTATTTTATCCCTTGTTTTGAAAATTTTGACAGTAAAATTTGTCATACAGGTCTTCTTGGTATATAATGAAGTGGTCGTATAAATGGTTATAACTTTCAAAGAAAAATGTGTATTAACCTCTACTTAGAATTGTAATGCACACTGTAGATGGGTTATACGAAATTTGAACTTAATAATAAACATAAAAATTTCGTTGTCTAGGTAACGTGTCAATAACAATAACAACACTATATTATCATGTTGATGACCTTGTTTACACATGATACTCTAGTTGTTATTATAATATTACGTTGTTGGGTTTCCTAGAAATGCAGGAGGAATGCACTTCACAGCAGGGCCCCAGGGTGATTCCCATGAAACTGATGATTGGCCAAATAAATAAATACTCTCATTGAATTTTAACGATTATTTTTATGAGAGTAGAAATATCAGCCTCAAAATAGTACTGTTAGTTTTAGAATGTCTTCAGTGATGAAAATATAAACATAATAACACATTATTACTTAAAAATTTGTATTAAGAGGACGATTTTCAACCAAACTTTAGAGAGCAGAAAGCGTTTTCTATTCGACTTATACTTCTACAAAGTCGTGTTTTTGTATTTAACACAAAGTCATCTTTAGACTTTCAGTACCAATTTGAAGCTGAAATTCAATTTCTACTGTCAGTAATTGATAATATGTTTACAAACGAATTTGGGACAACAGTAGTCCAAAAAATTGACATATCATGCCAAAATGTCCAAAACACGTATGATGTGTCAACATCTTCAAATTAGTTTTAGTCAATGAAGTTGTCAGATTGTAAACAAAGGAAAAAAAAAATATAACTGAATAAATAAAGATGTAAAAATGTTGCCCCAGGGAAAGAAATAGTTAAATACTCTCAGATCCGGGGTTTAGATTTGTATCACATCAAACATCATGACCAGGTAAACTCTGTATATAAATAAATTGCTATGGGATATAGGTCTATCGGTATCGGGGTAAATTTAATCTCTTTTTAGAAAAAAAACATGTCTTCAACATCTGTTTGTTTGTTTGTTTGTTTGTTTGTTTGTGTTTTTATTTATTATTCTGTATTTTTCGTTATCATAATTTATTACCAGTTAGATGAATTTTTTTCAAATTTTCAGCCATCTTTTAGTGTAATTGTAAAACCCAAAGACGTCATATTGGAAATTGGAATGGTGATTACCAATGCTATCAGTGTCCCGATACACATACAAATTTAGAAAACCTCTTTAAAACCCCTTAAAGATAATCCGAGAAGCCAATAAGCTAAATATTGACATTGTATTAAAAATCAATTATATTTCATTCTGGGTCTGTATTTATTGACCATTAAATTTCAAATCATTCACAAACATTGTAGGGGTCGGGATGTCTGTTTGACCTTTGACCCTGTTTATTTACAACCCTGTGTTATTGTCTAGTATAATACAAGTCAAACACGACCCTAGATACAAGATGTTACAATGTGTTAGAATAATAAAAATCACCAACAGCCAATAAATCTGTTACTATTCAAATAAAATATAATATCATATTGAGACACATCTTCACCATCCAGATAACTCATTAGTTGGTCAGAGACGATTATTTTTATATATAACCTGATAGTTACAAATTACTCGCAGACGCATAAATAATTGAGATAAAAGTATCTCAAGCTAGGAACTATGTACAGGTAGCAATAGTACTATCACTTGACAAACCAGTAGTGAAATTCCGGAAGTCAAGAGGCCCGCCATGCATTATCAGGACAGATTCAGATTTAGAAACTGTCGAGTATTGCCGACGTAAAGTGTGTAATTTTGATGTCACTCTGCTTACGGGCATTTTAGCCAAGTATTTTATAGATACGTTCATCTGTAACTCCACATTTATATTATATACGATATGTATAGTATTCGATGTATATTTACAATGACTTATTTGTTAGTGGTTGGATTCTGATATTGTAGTATATTTGTGTATTGTAGATTATATGGACGATCTATGTGGTAAAACGTTGAAGCTATCAGCTATAGGACGTGAATCGGCTGTATTAAAACTAACTAAACATGGTGAATATACTGGCACCATGAACTGTATCACCACCATCATGGCTACCGACAATAAACAGATTATGTTGAAATATATACAGATGGATATTAAAAGCTACCACGAATGTCCTGGAGATTATTTAGCTGTTTATGATGGTCATTATCAACCTGGTAGTAGAATATCTAAAGGTATTTACATATCTTAATATTAATAAAAGTTAATTGGGATTTCTTATATCTTATGTGTTTTGGGAACATTGATAACATCCAATTTATCAGTCAGACGTCTGTGGTTCTTGTAATTCCACTAAAACTATGAGTTTTTATGTCTTTACTATCGCTGAGGCCCTTAGATATTATTTTGTGATGTCGAAAAAGGCTTTGAAATTGGAGCAATCACAGATGTCTGACTGAAAACATACATACATATATATATATATATATATATTACCAATGAACAATATTAGCTATTTGGACTAGAAGTCCATCGAGTTGACAAAATCTGCCACAGAGTGGCGACAGATGAGAAGGCAATTCCTCGCACTAAAAGTAGTTCAAGCCAATATGATGACCAGCAGAATCATCGGCCTATTGACGAGCGACTAAAGACTGTAGTTCTTGTCAGGGGCGTATCTAGAAAATGCGTGAGAAGCGACGCACGAAAGACCAAAACTCCAGGGGTGATTCCAGAGGTCCTCAAGAAGCCAACATATTTCCGAGCATTTACAGGGCTTAGTTGTCACTTTAAAATAATACCTTTCACAGGCCTAAGTGGATGCCATGGTCATGGTTCTGCTCTTCCAACAAAATAGTCAATTAAAACATCAATTATTTTCAGAACCAATGAGTGTATTTTGTGGAGATGACACACCTAGATTAACCTACTCCTCTACTGGACAGTTTCTCACACTCCGGTTCGTCAGTGATGACTCAGCTCACGGAGAAGGTTTTGAAGTTGTATTAACAGCTTTTCATAATGGTAAGAAAAATACACCAAAGACAGCGCTTTGCTCTCACATCATTTCTATTTATAGTACAATCCTTGGAATCAAACATTCGGTGTTCTGTTTATACTCTCGAGTCTTACCTTTAAATTTAATTTTACAAAAATACAAAGCAGGAATCATAAGCTTTCTCTGAAGACTATCTGTAAAGTAGACTCTGTGAAAGACTATCTGTACTGTAGACTTTCTGAAAGGGGGGCTGTGTTCTCGGATTCTCTCCTTCAATCACGGCACCATTCGCATTGATGTGTGCCAGGAAGCTGCAGTTTCAATGAATTATAAATTCAGATAACTTAACTATCGCTTGGTAACATCTTGGGTCATTGTCTCACCCTTTCCGTTGCAGGAACCTGTGGTTCCAGTGAGTACCGGTGTGATAACGGGCGATGTATATCACATGCACTGGTGTGTAACGGTTACAATAACTGCGGGGATTACAGTGATTGGTGTGTGTTATCCCCGGCTGTTATCAGTGGTATTGTTATAGCATGTTTCGTGGCGGTTATCACTATCTGGGTATGTATGGTGTTTGTGTGGTATGCTTACACTTACAGACAACAACGTTTACATCGAAGAACGGTAAGTATATAATGCTTTCTTACTTTGCGTATGGGTTGTGATCTCTTGGTTTAAGGATGACAGATCATTTGTGTTTTCGGTTCTACACCACACTCAGGTTTAACAGCTTTTGTTTATGTGTCATAGTTAATTTTATTAGAACTGAATCCGAAGTACACTTCCCCGTTTTGTTAATTTGCTCGAATCAATAAATATATCAGGAGTCGTGAATATTTTGGAACAAAACATTCATGATGTGTTAAAATGTGTTGTTGTTTTTTATTTTAGAGACGAAGACATCGACCACAACTGTCATCAATGGTAGGGGAACCTAGTCGTTATTCACATCTTTTACCGCCAGAACGATCTTCCAGCAGACGTGATGACGTCTTTACCGTCTTCCCACAACTACGTATTTCCATTACCCCAATCCAACCACCACCTTACCCTGGTGAACCTAGTCCATCAGAGGGCGCACACAATCTCGGATATCGACACGGACCTTGATCTTTTATAGGGAGTTAAGTTTGGGGAGCTTCCGGTTTGTGAGAATTCACGCATGTGCAATAGTTTTACACACACCTCAACCACACCGTGCAGAACCGTTGATTCATTTATGATCGTATCGTGTGTCCAGGAGGTTTGAAAAAGGACTCGAAGCGAGATTTAAGAACCACATATAAGAGCAGTGCTTCGTATTGAAGAGCGTCATGTTTAATCGGTGAATCTCTTAGTATATTGCGTAGAAATTTATAAATGATCATGCGCACTAAAGATCGCTTAAGTAACTGAATACTACTCGGGAACGTTAAATGGAATTAATTAAATGGAGTAAATCTCCACTGACAGCAAACAAAACTGGTCGTCTTTATCTCCTTAATGATTACAATGTTGTTATTAGGAATAGAGTTCTCTCCTTTCCATTATCAGATTACAGGTGACCACGACGGGTCTCCAAAGGAATCAACTGTTGTCGATTGTCATGATATGAATTACTTCTTTCAAAACAATTTTCCTCTTGAAACGCTGTTTGTCAATTTGTAGTTGACTCAAACAAATCACATGGACATCGAGTGTATGATATTATATTTTGATTTAAGTGCTGCTGGTTAAGGGTGTACGAGCTAAATCTATATCTATCTATAATTAGATATCACTGCTTTTTAATTAGCATGCTGTTATTGCTCAATCGAATGTATATATTATGATTTTTATAACAATATATTTACATTGGTCCTTTTTGTATTTGTTTATATTTGTTATGGCCACTGTTACCATTGTATTTACACGTATTGATTTGTAGCTCCATGTATTACTTGTATTTACGCGTATTACTTTGTATGTACATGTATTACTTTGTATATGCGTGTATTACTTTGATTGTACGTTTATTACTTTGAATTAGTATATATTACTTTGTAAGTACATGTATGAATTTCATATCGGGCAAATTTCTGTGTGAGTGTATATATTTGTATTTATATATCTAGTCATAATATACAGAACGTTGTGTGAATGTATGTGCCATTTTGTACAAAAGTTTATTATTAAGTTGCGTATTATCGTCCCCTTTAAATGACCCAAATGTAGTGTTGAAGTCACACCGCGTTTTCCCCCTTTTTTTAAAAATAAAATCAATGCTTCGTAGATGATAATAATATTGTTTTAAGTATTATGTACAGTATTACGTTTTAATGCCCGTTTATAAACGGACCCCAAAATGCATATAATATGTACTACCGTGATGCATTGTAAATTAGTTAACATATCATATTCTTTAAAATGTGTGTTGTGGTTAATATTCAGACTCTCGTGACGGTAGAGGAATTCCCTATTACGTTCGTACTATGTGTCATTCAGATAACAAAGAGATCTTTTTTTTTGCTACTTAAGGTGATCGAAGACAAAATGTTGAGTATTGGGGGCCGTAAACATTAACTCTGTGTCTAACAAGCCGATTAGCACAATGACAGCTTTCTTTGGTCAGAATGCAAGTGGAACATGCTACGTAATGGTGCAATGATAAGTTTAAAAAATAAAGACGTTCAGAAATATGTCCACGTTTAGTTAGAACAAAGTTTATTTATTTCATTAATTTAGACGACAGTTCAAATCAATTAGAAACAGAATAAACAGCACCTTGGGGCTGGATTTATTTGCTTTTTGTCACAAGCGAAAACCTCAATCTGTCAATGAACTTAGGATCCTTCGCATCAATATAGGTGAAAGTTTTAATACAACGTTTCAACATGGAGTCCATTTCCGTTTCCTGTATATCTTCATATTTTATGATAATTAAATGGCGGCGTTTCTTGGTGACACTTTCTTCGTAAGCTTCTTTGAATTCTGTCATTGACCACACACTTTGAATAAACTGTCGAGATAAAACAACGATGGTATGGTGACTATTTTCAATGCTGTCAATGATGTTCAGAAGGATGCTTTTTCCACCGACAAAATCCCTTTTATGAATACACAAAGACAAAGCATCGTGGGAGTCAAACGGTGATTCTAACTTGTGAATGAGATTATCTAGAACCCAGTCACTGTTAGACGAACTGTAAGATATAAAGGCATCGAATCGTTTTTTCTCTGTAGACTTGTCAACATCCCAGGGCAGCAAAACTTTAAATTTTACATTCAGGAGTAGTTTAATCTCTTTCCGGAACTTGAAAAGAAGAATCATCACCAAAATCAAGATGGCTGCTATTACTCCTAATACCACTAAATAAATTTCCCAATCGTCTGATGAAATTTCACAGCCCATCTCAGCTTTACTTAAATTGATAATTTTGATTCCTTTAGCAGTTTCAGGACTGGCACACGTCATGTTTTGTATATATTTATATTTCTGCATCTCACCATCAAAGAAGTTGTCATCTTGAACTGTGTATATGAAATCCTGTTTAAAACATCCGCAATCCAAAGGATTTTCTCGTATGTCCAAAGTAATATCTTGCAGTTCTGTCCATTTGGAAACTGTTTCAGCGGTCAAAGTGGTGATGTTGTTATAACGAAGATCTATTACTACATGCCGACCAGGCTGGGGAAACCAAAGGTAATTTGCATTAGAAATGTCGGCTATTAAATTATTACTATAGTCAATGTATTCTAATTTAGGAAATTTATACGTGATCTCTTTCCATTCCTCGGGGAAAATTGTAAAGTCGTTGTGAGAAAAATTAAATACTCGTAAGCTTGGATATCGACTTTTAACGCTTTTGAAATAAATCTTAAGGTCAATATTGTGCACGGGTTTACTATTTACCGCTTCCAGAACTTCTAAACTTTGGAAATTGCATTCTGGTTGATTGTAGGAATTAATAAGGGAGAGAAGATATGACCACTGAAAGAGATCTGGTATTTCTGTCGACTTCTGATTCATTAAATAGGATTTGGTGGATTTTTTCGTTACCGATATACTTCAGTACGTCAGCCAGATGTAAATCAACCATATATGAAATATTTCTCGAAATAGATTGTTTAATTGTTATATCAGGACCGCACATCCAATCGTTACAAACATTTTGAAAGTTTTCCATTACAAGCAGAAGTGATTTGATGTCAAACACAAGAGAGGAATCAGCGATTTCTTGATATACAAGGCTATCCTGAATGCTACCAAGTGACTTGCGGTTCCAGTCGTCTAAATAGTCAACAATATGACATCCAAACACTTTCAGACTGTAGAGTTTGTTAATTTGCATTGGTGTTCTCATCGATACACTAGCATTAGGACTACATTTCCAATATACCGAATATTTAACATTATCTGCTGTATTATTGGTGTAATGGTTCAAATCTTTTAACTTCGGTGTTTTTGAGTCGCCGGGTTTCAGGTTACAGGTGATATTGACGAATTCTGTGGAATTAAAAACGTCACAAAAGGGATCCCATGATGGTGGGTATAAATTTTGGCTTTCTATCATCGTAATGTATATACACATATATAGCAACGCTGTAACCTTACTCATGTTCACACCTAAAATAGAACAAAAGCGGGTGTTTCTGTGTGACTTCCTTGTTTTGATCAGTAGTTATTGAAATATTCTTTGAAATTGCATAATATGTTGCATTTCAAGCCCTTTAATTATTTTAGAATATGTCAGCCCACGCTACCCACCTGTCCCCATATCGAAATTCATGCAATAATTATGTTAACTTTGATAATTTTGCTATTTTGACGATAATTCTTCCAGTTATTCAATAAATATGAGTAGTGTTATAAGGTGATACGTGATACTACGTCATAAGAACAGACTACGGATTATAACATAAAAATAAAGGCCAACAAGGGGCGAACAACGATATATACACGACGATATGACATATTCGCTTTGAATAAAATTAATACACCATCTTCAAACCAAAAGAAAACATTTTACCTCTTTTTAGATGCTCTCACTATTACTAAGTATACTTAATACTTGACTAGATTGCAGAGTTAACAGAGCATGCATACAAGAGGGGCTATTTATATTCATAAAGAGGAAGTTACAATCCCACTTTACGTATATCAATCGTTTACATTCAATTACATTTTTTGTTATTCACATATGTATATGAATTGGATTTCGCTCATATAACCCCTTTACAAAACACACCGCAAAATTAATGTACAAGGTAATAATAAATTATATAAAATATAATACTAACTTATAAATAAATAAACATTTAAATAATAAAACAGAATTTAGAAGCAGACCATGCTTACTCTTTTCGAAACACCTGATGGTACTTCTCTTTGGAGGATTCCACTACCACACAACTTTTACTCTTGATTTTACCATGCTTTGGATGAGATTTTGATTAAGGACTTGTCTTGTTTGACCGGATTTTTATTACGGGCAATCAAAATAATAGTATTAATCATGAAAGTCACACACGTCCTGTTATAAAGAGAAATTGGAAGCATTTACTTAAAAGTTAGAAAAGAGTGGAATTGTTTGAAAATATCAAGCTTCCACCATGTAGCACGTGAAACGCATTCCGCTTTTTTGTAAAAAGTTTTCATTATCAAAATCTTCGTAAATTAAACCTGTACGTAACTTGTAATTTTACGGACTACAGAAAGATGATTTGACTGCCTGTATCATGTTGACCTACTTTAAACAAAATATTGTACGGTAGATATCATTCAATGATCTGCTGTTATTTCCACCTGAATTTTCTATGGCGGATGTGTGTCTATTTAAAATGTAAAATCACTGAACCTTATATTTCTATGGACCCGAAGACAATCTAAGACAAGACAAGACAAGTGTCAGAGAGCACGAGGCTTTGCATTCACTACACATTTCTCGATTACATCTAGCATTCGACAGTGTATCAAGGTGCTAACGTCAGAACCATGTATAACTTCTTTTGTTTTGTTTTGTTCTCCGTATCAGCCTTGATTCTTATTGATGACGGTAAATATTCCTACTACTATCTTATGATTCTTATGTATTCGATACCATTTTGGATAAAACTGCTGTCAAATGTTCGATAGTCGTAAAGTTAAGTAAAGTGACATTTCGCGGACTGAAGTGATCGAAATGAATTAAGCATTATTCGAAGAATCGTAAACCGAAGCGGAAAATCCAAAACAACATATTGACAAGCCATAGATAGCAGTTTATGAACTTTCTCATGAGGAATCCGTGAGAAAATATTGCATCATAAAAAGGTTATCTGGCGCCTGATTTGCTGCTCAACATACACAACAAATATAAGGGATTCATCGCAAACTTGAGAGTAAAAATTGTATAATGAAGATAAGAGTAAACATGGTCTGCATCACACGCGACACCCGCCACTACTATATAAGTCATGAAATACGTCCAGATCAATTTAAGCTCGACCTAACGAATCAAACAAACCAATATTTCTGGAAATTTAAGAGGGCGGATCCTTTCACGCATAAATGGTGGCTAAACAATGATTAACATAATAATGGTCTTACCAGGTGTCTAGAAGAGTAAGCATACCCTGTCTGGTGCCACACCCATCATAGCAGCTCATCATACAGAAAAAAACACGACAATGGTTGGATTGTAAAAAACCTAAAATGTGATTTGACCGACCAATTTTAATAGTTCAAGGGAGGTAACTGGTGAAAATATTTTAGTACAATTTCAACAGTTCACCAGAGGGAACTGATCACAGAACTTAGGCCTACATGATAAACAGGAAAGACTCCTCCAATTCATTTGCCATAGTCGTTCGGTTGCTATAGGCTGTGCACGTTACAGATCCCTCGACAGAGCAGATTTATGCCGCTGTCCTCCCCGCATGGTGTTGCCCGTCTTCATTAGCCCACATATTGCAGAAAGGTAGGACGTAAAACTCCATTCATTTTATTTTTCATTTCATGTCCAAATCATTTGCCATCTCTTTCCTTGTTCAATCACAAAATCTTCTATAACATTTATTTCAAGAAATCTCGTTGGAAACTTTCCAATATGCCCCAATACTTTTAGTTTCTGGACAAAACAAAAATTCAATATATCATGACCATGAATTTTTTGAGCTAGTAAAAGCAGACCACTACATGTTTCCACCGTTAAAATAGGGTTAAGCACATGTGACGTGGCTTGTTGTTATCACAATAATATGATGGGCCTATAATATTAGGCCTATAATATTACTGTGTTTTGTTTCCCTATTTTTGTGTTAAATTGAGCAGTAATTGTGGGTGAGGAGTCATGCAGTTTAGTCAAACTCATTCTCATCATACTGGTACCATCCTCGTATTTTTAATTACTGGGGTTGGTAACTTTTGTGACCAGTTCACTCCCTTGAATTGTTAACATTATATAAATAGTATTTTTACCAGTTACCTCCCTTGAACTATAAAATTGAGAACAGTTTTGTCACTATTGTGACTAGCGTGCGTTCCGTTTCGCATGCAAAGATTAGACATGCGTAGCTGATCGTAGAATTTCTCTTCCCACGCCCGTCACTTGTCCATTAAGCTAATGTCAGTAAGCCAATGACAAGTTAGCCAAATGAAGATGTTTTAATAATTAAAAGTATTATTTCATATTATTTTCATTATTTCCATCTCGGAAAAGTTCGTGTCCTCACAGTGATACTCACGGGTCTTGCTGTCACAAACATCATAATTTTTATTAAACTTTATTAAAATCTGATTGGTTGCCAGACCTGTTATCAATATATCAACCAATCGGATTGCTTGAAAATATTTGAAATTATAGTTACACTAATAAACTTGTAAAAACAATTCAATCTCTCCTTAATTCTAGGCTATTAAATAGTGTCTAATAAACAACGAAACAAGTTCGACCACTGGTAGTTATCACACCCTCGCTCTCATAACTCGGGAACAACTTGGTTACCTTGTGTCAAACATGCCATTTACGGTTACATTCATTCAAGCGAGTCGTTAATCCGAATCTCTCTGTATATGTCACCTTCTCTTTGAATGCTTTAATTTATATGACATTTTTATTATTGTATGAAAAGGTGTTTTGCGGCGTGTTGCATTTCATTATTCAAAGGAATACGAGCAATTCCATGCAGAGTTTATTAAGCTAACTATAATTCATCAACATCAAAAAGCGACCAAAACGTGCACGTTTCCCAATACAAATTATCAAGATATTTACGATATAAGGAATAACAAATATACAATGTATATACTTGCTTCAGTCATCTCATTCAGCATCAAGAGTTTAATAGTATGGTGTTCAAATTCCATTTCATTTCATTAGCCCGTGCAGATAATAGGGTGTAAACCTCTTCATTGTCATTGTCCTCGCTTCAGACATCTTAGATCTCAGACAATTCGGACTATTAGGGATGAAGGAAGGTAAATAGTTGATAGTTTAATCAGTTAATAGAGTTTAATACATCTTGATTGACAGCTCGTACATCACAGTAGAAACTATGCAATAACTGTATTAATTGGTTATAATTGGTATCAACACTCAACAGAAAGAATATCTTCATTCAACTGTCAACAACCATCATGAGGACTTTAACTATTATTTTTACTTTTTTACCAAATTTTATTTCTGCGTCTATACCTACTTGTAAGTTTATTATTTCTCTTATTTTATAATATTTTCTTCTATTTTAATTTATTTAATTGATTTATTTTAACTCATTTATTTTTCACAATTCGTTCAATCAATTCTTTGTGCGCTAATGTAACCATGGGAATTGTAAGAAACTGAGGTTCATGTATTCTATACAGCCTGTGTATGTTAATTTTTTGAATTCTTTTATTTTCTAATTTTTGAATTCATTTATATATTAATTATCTGATACGACGGGTTTAAACTGTAGCCAGTATCATTCTATTTGTACTAGTAATATTCTGTGTATTGAAATACGAGAATAATGATGAGATGCCTATTAAAAAGTGATTTATTTCACGTCTAAACTGTCCCTGGAACTAATAGACTTTATATCATATCTTGTATTAATACAATAACCATACAGGTTTACACAGTTCATAATTATTCTTAGATCAGTAATATTGAAAACCATTGACCAGCTCTTGATAAAACTGTCTGTATATGCATACGAAACGTTGCGTTAAAGGGGTTGTAAGAAAGTTTTGTAACTTTTTGTGTATAGGAGAAATTGATATAAGAACCTTTGCGATAGTAACAGACGTCTGATTGAAAATTGGAATGATGCAAATGGATGATATCAGTATCCACTATACAAATAATTTTTAGAAAGCCTCTTTACGATCCCTTTTGTAAATTTAGAAATAGTATATCCATATATCTTATGATTCCTTATAGCATTTGATAAACACTGTCTGTATCAAAATTCCAGTTAATAGATTTACATAATGTATAATATTGTACTACATCATTTTCCCCTATTGCCCACTGCATGGCATTATTTACCCACACTGGAGAAGCGAAGTAAAACTTCATTTCATCTCATATTTATATTATATTAAAACCTGCTTCCGCAACTAATTTCTTTTCACATTATCACCCTCCGTCTCCTATATAATTCTTGTTATAGCTTGACACACACCATTCCTACCCTACTACCATCTCGATTGTAAAGCGATCAACGTTAATCAAATTATCACTACTGAGGAGTTGAAAACATGAAATGTATTTTACGACTTCGTCATCATTTGAATTTGCATCTTTATTCTCCTGTGTAATTAGAAATTGATTTACAGCCTAATTAAGAGATACTTTAGTGACCCCGGGATAGAAGAATGAAGATAGATCGTCAATTCAAATACTCACTCACCCAGTCATTCAGTCTCTACGGCCGTTGATGGATGAACTGATGACAATTTTTGAAACCAATCAATAAGAAATATTAATTAATGTTTAATTACTAAATTAGTTCTGATATCTTTGTTTCGGTGACAAAATTGGTAGGAATTTCTTGAATCGAGATTACATAAATTCAATATTTAGTATAATTAATGTTGACTAGCTATAAAACTAATAGTGGTGGTATATGGTATCATGACATTAGAAGATGCACAAAATTTTCGAAAAGAAACATCTGTCACTTGCTTTCGCTTTCTAACTATATCTATACAAATTGTACACTGGTAGCCCCCACACAAACAAAGTACAACAAATGACAGTGTTTCTATGATTAAAACAGGAACGAAACAATTAATTCTGTCAAGTCTGAATATTAATAGCATGGAGACTGTATTTATATACTGATTTATACTCCACTTTTCTAGTACAACTATTCATTATAGATCGCTGGGGTATTAACCACATTATCATTAGATCTTCATCACCACAAACCCAACGTTTCCACACATTCCTACTAACCATTAAGGACAACTGTAGCAGTATTAATAACTAGCCAATACATACTTTAAGCGACAGACAGCATTCATTGGATCCTTCTGTCTTCTCCACAAATCATCCTTCTGTCTTCTCCACAAATCATCCTTCTGTCTTCTCCACAAATCATCCTTCTGTCTTCTCCACAAATCAACCAACTTCTAAGACATTTGATGATCACAGATTCTAATCGTTCATTTCGTTGATATTGTTTTATTTATAAAGTAGGACAAGAGCAACGTAATTGATAACAGTTTTCGATATGCTTCATGCGTTGAAAACCCACCTGCTCTCAGATTCTGATAGTCGCAATCTTTGTTTCGATGAATTCAATTGACAGGGTTATTGATGTGCTTCTTTCGGGACTAGATTGCGGATTATCTCTGTGGAATCGTGACTCCTTCGGGTCTGAAGATGAATGTCAGAGATAAACAGTTATAGAATAATGCTAAACTGTGGTATTAATAAGACTCATGTGGACCTATCATTAGTTTAAAGTTAAATACCCCCTAGAGACATGAGAATAATCTTGATAAATATTGTGCACACTAACCTATTAATGTAAATACATTGTCGTATTATCCGTGATATTTATTTATCTCGTAAGATTAAACTACTCAGCAACTTACAACTATAATACTATCATTGATTAATAAGAGATTAATCAGAGTTTTGCGTCTTAGTGTTCGGATATTAATTCGCCCAAAGAAGACAAGTATCAATTTATTTTTCTGTAATTGTTTCTAGATATTATGGATGAACAGTGTGGTCAGACGGTGAATATGGACTCAGAATCTATCGAGAGTGGACGATTGCTACTCAGACGACCCGAGGCTAGTGGGTTGAGAAACAACAACTGTGCTTTATATATCAAATCACCCAGTGGCAAGAACTTAGTCTTCTACTTTCGTCATTTACAAATTGAAACACCGTTTGGTTGTGATCGAGACTATGTAGAGGTATATGAAGGTCTCAGTAATAAAAGTAGGTCATTGATAGGTAAGCACGTGCAGTTCATATACCTTCTCTAACCATGCCACACTAGCTACATGATAGAAATTCGGACTTTGTTTCCACTCTATTGTTCCGTTTTACGATATCTTACCACTCTTCTAGAATACCAAATTCCAATGAACAAGATCAAAATCAAAGATAAGAGGCGTGTGATTGCATCCAAACGGACATCCTATTATATAGAATAATTTTAAAAACTCCATGGCAAAATCAATTCCTGGCTCTTTCAAGTGCTAAGCTGACTTTCAGTATTTCAGTTACAATTGCAAAATGATTTGGTAGAAGCTAGTCAGAATAATTCAGCCTATTTCATTAGCAGCAGCACAAAATACTGAATAAGATTTAAGAGTGTTTTTTGGTATATTTTTAAAACAATTTCTGTTTTGTAGGTAAAAATTGTGGAAGTTTGCCACCCAGTACAGCTTTCACTACAACAACTCCCTACGCTCTGATAGCCTTCCAACGATATCTACAATTCTTTCACGATCAGTTTGAACTGATTTTTACAGCTTACCATAAAGGTAAGTATATATATATTTTATCAACGAGCACTTGTTAGATAGTTAGCAAAGCACGGTTATATGGTAGCTTCCTCGCCGCCGATATGCCACAATATTGTAGAGACCAGACCCTTCATGCCACGTTTTGATTGGCTAAATATGACGTTATTAGAACGGAATTGCTATAGAAGACATGTAGATTACAATAGAGAAGAAAAATATGGAAAAAAAGGGAAATTCTGATCCACTGAGAGATATGAGTCAGGTAAAGCTGAGTTGCGAGATATTTGACTGCAAATAGAACCAAATAACTATTGTTATACCATTTTATGTTTTTGTCTTCAAGGTGTATGCGATAACGATGAATTTACCTGTAACAATGGACGATGTATTCACAACTCTCTGTACTGTAACGAATACAACAATTGTGGAGACGGTTCTGATATCTGTGCTCTGACGACAGCCGAGTTAGTTGGTGTTGTAGTCGCCTGTCTGTTTGTTATCCTACTTATTGCTGTTATCGTGGCGGCTGTGTTCTTTATAAGAAGGAGAAGATTGAGAAGACAGCAGGTATCTGGAGGAATTTGATTCTCTCCCCTTAACTCTCTCTCTCGGCATGATTACTTTGTCTGGAACTTGGCTTCATTTCTTCATTTAATTCATTCTGCATGAATATATATATGCCTGCCTGTCTCATTCTACATATTATATTGGATATTGTTCTTATTATTGTAGTTTCTTATCTCTTCGTTTTGTCTTTGTTTGACCACATTTTCAAAAAGCATCAGATGTTAAAAAGAAATGCTGCAAATTAGCTTTAAATCATGCCACATTAAGGTTGCTATATCCGAAAAATCAAAGTCATACTGAAACTGCCGCAAAAAGCGTTAATTTATATTTGCATAATTTGGTTGTCATATCCGAAAAAAATGGTTCCCACAAATGAAAACTCGATTGCCAGTTCTGAGTAATTCGGTTGACAAATCTGAATACTTTGGTTGACACTTCTTCATAATTTGGTTGCCATATCTAATAATTTGGTTGTCACGTGTGATAATTTGAACTTTCATTCCACATCTGTAAATATCCTACCATGCAATCATCATCATATCATAAATAAATTCTTACCAATTTTAGTTAGTATCTATTGTGTTGTATTTTAATTCTTTTTGAAGATTGGTAGCACCTATAGACGATAGTTCATAGATGTTTACTGGAAACACCTCCAAACTACTTCCTGTCATGCGGAAACGAGTAGTTCCGGTTATTTATTAACAGTACTTTTTGACTAGAGATCCAGTGCTTCCTGTCATGCGGAAATTAGTACTTCCGGTTAAATATTTTATGAGTCTTATTTCAGGTTTTGCTTAATTGCATTTCAATACTTCCTATTTCTTAGTAACTCTCTCCAGTTTTCAAGAAGATCTGGTCCAAAATTATATAGATTAAACTAAATCAGAAAATCTTTTCAATAACGTTGAAGGGTAAATGTAGAAAATTTGGCAGACAATAATTCGTAAAAAAAAATATGTCATTTCGACCACATGATAGCTATCAATATGTAGGCCTAGGCATTTAGAAATGTTCAAGCAGAACTTGAATCATGTTGAGTTTCACTCCATGCGATCTTCAGACAACAGACCTATATATATATATTTTATATTAACTTGTGTTCCATATTTTTATGACTTCTGTCAAACACAATATAGATGATCTTTTATTAAGCCTCGTGGCAATGATCTTTTTGGGATTTACAGCTATTTTCGACATGTTTGTGTAAAAACTGTTAGGGCCTGAAGTCATGGCTGTGTTTTTATTTTCTGATTTCTACGAAGCAGGAGGGGAAATTGTGAAATATTAGTAATTCTTTAGGAATATTTTAAGATATTTGTTAAATTTCTACAGCATCCTTGTTAGTTTAGGGATTGTAAAAATGGTTGGGTTCATTTGGGAAAAGTATTCCAAGTCACCTCTACTTTAAGACTATATCTTTAGGTCAAGAGCGATAGTTTAAACATGGAAATAATGAGGGATTTATGATTTATACTAAATAAATTTCCTGACCTACTCTGACAAAAAAAGCTTGACATAAGAAACGTCCGTTAAACGTAATGCCCTTTCTGTAATTAGTTGCATGTTGTCATGGTATGTATTTTCTGTCTATCTAGTCATTATTGTTTGTAAATCATATTTTTGTATGATTCATTTATTAAACTATGTTTAACTTGTAACAACATCTCTTTCTTCTTTCAATAGTCTTTTCTTTATTAATCCAATGATATATAGTTCAGGCAAGTAGAATGTCCATCAGTCCATCAATATGTAGATCAATATGACGTAAAACTCTGATTAGATTCTTTACAATACTGACAAGCAAGGCATAACGCTCATGTTTGTAGCACAATACGGAGCAGAACAGAAGGATGTAAAACTCCATTTCATTTCATTAGTCCAATAAGGCACAGAACAGTAGGATATAAAACTCCATTTCATTTCATTAGTCCAATAAGGCACAGAACAGAAGGATGTAAAACTCCATTTCATTTCATTAGTCCAATAAGGCACAGAACAGAAGGATGTAAAACTCCATTTCATTTCATTAGTCCAATAAGGCACAGAACAGAAGGATGTAAAACTCCATTTCATTTCATTAGTCCAGTAAGATACTGAACAGTAGGATATAAAACTTTATTTCATTTCATTAGTCCAATAAGATAAAGAACAGTAGGATATAAAACTCTATTTCATTTCATTAGTTCAATAAGATAAAGAACAGTAGGATATAAAACTCTATTTCATTTCATTAGTCCAACAAGATAGAGAACAGTAGGATATAAAACTTTATTTCATTTAATTAGTCCAATAAGATACAGAACAGTAGGATATAAAACTTTATTTCATTTAATTAGTCCAATAAGATAAAGAACAGTAGGATATAAAACTCTATTTCATTTCATTAGTTCAATAAGATAAAGAACAGTAGGATATAAAACTCTATTTCATTTCATTAGTCCAATAACGTACAGAACAGTAGGATATAAAATTCCGTATCATTTCACAAGTCTAAAATAGCTGTATTTATAATCCCGCATCGAACACCGCACATCGTCTATTCACACCTTTAAAGGGTACAGAACAATATAAAGCTGTATAAGATATAACAAACCGTATGTAAATCGACGATGCGTGTAGTTTTCACTTGCAAGAGTTGAATAACCGCCCGACGTCGTTTTTTTTTTGATATTATAAGCAAATAAATAGGCATATATATATAAATGTTTTTTTTTTTAAATTTTATATACATATTTCATAATTAACCCTGCAAATCATACACCCACTTTAGAGGACTCGCAGACCTCAGACGGGAAACTGTTGTTAATATACCAGTCTGATTCACAATACAATGGCCAGAGAACAATACAGATTTTTCGGATATTAAGAAAACTTTATAGATTTCCCAAAGCTGTTGACCTTGACCCTTCGACCTTAAGGAGTTATTCCGTGTCCAAACTTATGATCAATCATAATAGTAAGTTGGCAGTAATATTGAACGATGTGTATATATTAATTAATAACCCGATTTAGCTTTCCTAGAGTTTACTATACAGTGTTAATAAAGTGATTTAAGTCAGCTGGTGAAATAAATATTAAGACTACCCCATCGCGCCAGTTTGACAAGTGAATGTCTTTAGTAATAAAGATACCATATTTAGTAAAGTGATCTGGAAATATTCCATTACATCTGGATTTAGATACACATAATAACTGGCCTGCAGGTTCACCATCCAGGCCATTAATAGGTTGTTTGATATTAAAATCCAATGTAGAGCTGTATTAATTAAGGAAGTCCGGTATATCTGGAAGATGTCTTTAAGAGAAGAAGCCATGACGCTAGACTAATCATGTAAACCAATTCTTCGCCTTAAAGAAACAGTATGCAGCCACATGTAGCAAACTGAAAATACATTGAATGTTTCTCCTAAAATTATCAAGTTCAGATGGCTGACTAGCTAGCCTTGAGGTCTCTTCATTGATCGAAGAATACCATTAAATTTCGTTGCAATGACAAAACTGTTTGATATATTTATCCTCATTGCAGACCGCAAGGCATTGCACCTTTATTAAACTAATTATTTCCAGTCCAATGCTTTCAAGAAGAAGGTAAAACAAAAATTAATTTCACTATTAACTCTAGTATACAGTGATTTTAACTCGTCTCGTTCCGTAGACATGAAATTTTAATATAATCAATACTAGACTATCTTGTCTCATTTAACTTGTAAATACTAATATGTTTACAATTTATACAGAGGAGGAAATACAGATCTTAATACTCACAACTTCATTAAGATGTTTCCAGTCTAGCATCAGATCAACGACGAGTTTAATCTATATCAGGGGTTTTCATCCTGGGGTAATTCACGGGGGCTAATCTTTAAAGTTGTGGGTGGTAACAAGGTGCCATGCAGTTAAGCATAGAATTTTTGGACAATTATAATTTCAGTCTTTCTATTTAGCCAGCCTATATTCTCCGACATCATAAAGATTGCAAGAAACATAGGGAGGAGGGGGTAATGTAATCGATAAATGAATGATCTTGAAAGGGGTAATAACAAGAAAAATATATGATGTCCACACCAGTCTTGAATTATCCACATCAGAGGTCAGAACAGCTGTTTTGGAAAAGTAAGTATCGATCTATACAACTAATAATGTCATTTTATGTTTTGTTTGTTTCAGTTTGCAAGAACGATGGATTTTTATAGTTCGTACAACAGTCAGAAGTCTCATGGTTTAGATTGGTTTCCTCTGTACGGTCATCCATCAGTGACACGACATGACTCTCATAGAATCAGACTTCTGGATCCAGCTACTCTTCAGACCGAACATCCTTCTGCAGTTTCTGCTAATGCATGCCGCGATCCAGCAGTTTGGGTCAGGGACCACCCTCAAAGAAATCCAAGTAGCAGATTCTCATCTCGTGAAGCGTTTAATATCGATCGACCTCAACGATCTGCTTCATTCGCTAAAGGCGATTATCCTTTTGGACTAACCGATGACAGACCACAGTCATTTTATAACATAGATCACTCAGCACCACAAAGATCTCAATCAATGTATGTTACGGATGGATCAAGTGCATCCATCGACAAACGTCCATACGTTCTTCCAACTTACTCTTACCATCCAAAACGATCACAGTCCATGAACGTTAGACACGGACCTAGCGCTTCCTTAGATAAGCGTCCGTATGTTTCGTCAAGATTTGAGAATCAAGAGGAATATCCTATGACATACATGGGTAGAACACCTTATGTCGAATCATCTCACGTCGACAAGGAACCAAGGATTGAAGTACCACTTCGAGACTACTGGGAATTCGAAGACCGCAATGCTTATACCCCATCCACTGGTTATCCTTATACCACCAACCTAGAATTACCATATCCTTACACAGGTTCTACTCGCTTCATAGCACCACAAGAACCACGACATGAAACTAACCACAAAGTCAACCAAGACGATTACCCCTACGTGGCACGTCTACCAGTTCGGAATGAATCACGAACATCCGGTCATGCTAGTCATAGAGGAGAGACTCTTGACGATTGTCTAATCAGCTTCCGCTCGTATCCCTCCCCCGTACCGGCAGCCGACATCGCCCTCTACCGACCTAAACTCAAAGATGCTCTCGGCTACGATGAGGTTGACAGTCGACTAAAATCAAGGTCTCAACCAGATCTCAGCAAGATCTATACTACATCTCTTCCTAGGAGTTTTCCTGTCAGACGGAATGAATCTCACCACGGAAAAACTAAACAGACGAAGGGACACAAAAACAAGGCTTTTACGTCTAACGCCCATTTCACTGACGTTGCTAATACCGATCCAGTAATCCAGAAGCGACACATCGACAAACCTCAACTTCCGGTTAACGCTAATAGAGCTAATCAATACTCGCCAGTGATCACAGTTGCTGGAAAGGGTACCATTGATGGTTCATATGGACGGGCCAAACATCAACATCCAGGAGCTCCCGAATCTGTTCCCAACCGACACCTCGGTGTTGCTAGACAAGCTGAAGACAGATCTCAAGGTAGTAGTGATGGATTGTATAATTATGACCAGCAACAAGATGAAATTTTCTATCCTCCCACATCAACATTCAGATTATAATCAAATAATAAACATAATTAGATCTTGTGGCCGGAGCTTTTTTTGATTCCCCAAATTAATTTGTGATTGAAATTGTGATTTGGATATCAAACGTAAGTCCAGAAATAGTGGCTTTGTAAATCTGGTCTAGAATGGTCTAGTTGTGCTGTAATTTTTAATTTTTTCTTTGGAGAAAATAACAACCTTAGTCTTGTCTAAATTGATATGTAATTTCCACGTTTTACAGTAAAGTTCAAGGCTGTCTAAAGATTTTTGCACATCATTTACCGTTTCAGACAAAATAACAGTGTCATCCGCATATAACAATAAAAATAATCGAAGATATAAACCAATGTTAGTTATGTTTAATGAATTAATATGATGGAGTTCTCGGACGTCATTGTTTGTGAAAAAGTCTTCAATGTCATTTAGAAAGATAGCAAATAAAAATGGTGATAAGTTTTCTCCCTGGCGTACGCCAGTGTTACATGAAAAGTATCCAGATATATCATCGCCAATTTTGACGCACGATTTAGTGTCATAATATAGGTTATAAATAACATTGAATATTTTACCACGAATATTACACTTTAGTAATTTCTGCCAGAGTCCTGTTCGCCACACAGTGTCGAATGCTTTTTTTAAATCTACAAAAACACAATACAGTTTCTTCCCAAATGCTAGATATATATTTATTAGGATTGTAAGACAAACATGTTATCGGTTGTGGAATATCCTTTCCGAAAACCTGCTTGACAGTCAGATATTAAATTTGTTTCTTCAGCGAGATCATTCAATCTTTTGTTTAAAATAGAGTTAAAGACCTTGCCCAAACAGGAAATTAAAGTAATGGCTCGGTAGTTATCTGGATTTTTCGGGTCACCCCTGTGTTTGTAAATTGGTCGCATAGTTCCGATTGACCCGACTTCTGGTAATATCGCTGTGTCAAGTACCGTATTAAAAAGAATGTTGTATAATTGGAGACATGTGATTTTATGTATTCATTGTATATGTTGTCGATGCCACAAGCTTTATTAGATTTAATATTAATTATAGCTTCCGTTATTTCTGAGTCAGTTATTGGTGAATTAAGAATGTCACCGAAGTTATTTTCACAGTCAAGTGAAGTATCAAAGTGTTCATCTATCTGATCAGAGCTGTTCAATTGTTTAAAATAATCATACAATTCATCTATTTTGATATCGGCTTTATTATTTTTAGTGTTTCCACAAATACTATCAAGTAGTTTCCAAAACGATTTGGGATCATAACTTGATTTTATTCTTATTTCGTTTCCAGCATTAAATTGAAAGGTGTTGAATGCTGCATTAAGACTAGTATTATACTCTTTACTTGCTATTTTCATGCTATCTTTATTGTTAATATTTTTATGTTTTGAATATTTTTTCATTGCGTTATGGAATTTTGTTCTGTATAGCTTACAATTTTTATTAAACCAGGGTTTATTTTCCATTTTATTTTTTTTATATTTGGTTTTTCCTTTTATTTTTGTTAACCCAAAAGCAGTTATCGCTGAATTTGTAAATAAATTGCATATTTGTTCAACAGACTTATTTATTTTTTGACGTATAGTATCCTTATTTTGGGTACTTGATATGTTACTTAAATTTAATATTATATTTTGTATAATATCGACATTTGTATTAACTAAGTTAGTGAAGATATCTTTTTTTGCACAGTTCCATTTGGTATACGAGCTATGTGTTATACTGTTATCTCTACTGTTATCTCTAAATATTATAATATAATATAACAATAAACATAAATTTTAATTTAAAATTTAATTTCGAACATCTAAATTAAATTTCAAACATCTAAATTAAATTTCGAACATCTTAAGGTCGCTTCATGATAAGTAAAAATATAACATATGTATAAAAATATTATCTAAAAGTGGTTACATTAACTAACTAACTAACTTACTAACTTTAAAGATGGGTTCCCTTATTTTCATTTATGAAAATGCTAATACTTATATGAATAGAAAGTAGAGGTGTTCTAATGACTTGGAAAAATACCCGTTTGTCTCAAATGTCCATAATTAATTCATAATTAGCTAAAATAGAAGAGAATTACGAGCGGAATTCCAATGAGTGACCAATCAAGAAAGGTCAAAAAGGCTTTTTTGTTTATTCAGACTGTCCATGCATTAATGATTGGTTAAAACTCTTAATTATATGCCAGAACATAATTATATAATTAAGAATACATGATCATTCAAAACACCAATTGATCAAATAGTTTGCTTAATTTGACACTAAAAATAAGAAAACCCATCTTTAAATACAATACCTTATCTATATTACATAATTCTTTCTCGGGACAGAAAGTGTTATAGATGTGTGAGTCATCACAACTGAATTAAAATAGATATTTACCCTAGTAATACGTCTTATTGATATATAAAAATCTTAATTGAATTGAATCATAATTTTTGCTGTTATGCTCACGTTCCGTGTTGGTGGGTGAACAACTCTGTTCAGGGGAGATAATTGTCTCTAAGACCGATTCAGTTTAAAAGATAAAACATCTTTAATATAATTTGAAACATCTTGAATATATTTTTGTAGAGAACTCTTAAGTTTTAAGTTCAGAAATCAGATCTTCTCAAGGAATGAGACCAGAATGATAATCTTGGTTGTTTCTGGATGATAGAGTAACTAGTGACTCAATGGTTGTTACTTCTTGTTGTTCGTTCTTCATTGATTGGGACCTAAATTTAACACAAAGAATATTTTCTCAGTAGAAATAATACAAATGAATGACATGCCTTTCTGTTTTATTGTAAAAGCAATGTATACTCTAATTAACTTGTTTCTGGACACGCCAAAGGGAGGAACTAAGTTAACACACCGAGAAGACTGATGGAAACAAGTGTCTCAACAGCAGTCAAGTCTCAATCAGCAGATATTATACAAGCCTTACCTTCGTCTTAAAACGAACAGAACTACGAGTGCTACAGCTACAATAATGAATACAACACTTCCTACAATCTTCCCAATGGTCGAACTACCTGCAAGTTGGAATCAAACAGACACGATATAGAAGTATAGTAAGGCTTGGAAATGAGTAATTTAAACATGAATCCGAAGTTTTGTTTGAGTCTAAAGCTGGAAAGCTGGTTGCAAAGCTACAACTAGGATACCGAGATAATAATGTAGAGTAGACTGTGTCACAATCATCTTATCTCAATCCTGAAGTATAATAGACTAGTTATATCAGTCTGAAACAATCTGTAGAAATACATACTTTGTTGATAAAACAATCTAAAGAATGAAAATATTGTTATAAACATCCAAAACATTTATAGTTTATGTTCTAATTTATTATAAAACTAACATATTTACCTGTGATGTCTGCATTTAGCAGAAATCAGTAATGGGAACAGAAGCAAGCATTGGTCAATTGTAACTAAATTAGGATTTAAAAACTTGGTGCGAATAGATTACTAACTTGTAAATCATTGCGAAAAGAAATCCAATTGATTTCCAAGTAAAATATTGAATGCCCTAAAATGACCAACAAATGATGACAAAATTTCAGTTGCAGATATTTTCTAACCTGTGTTATCTTCTCGTACAATTAATGTACAATCTATTCCTTGGTATCCATCTGAACAGTTACAAGCTCCATCTATATTATTACACTCTGTTTCTAGTTTACAGAATCTTGATGAACAATTTAACAAACAGTCTTGTCCATATGTTCCTTTATCACATTCTACAGAAAGAAAATATCAATAAATGTAACCCATGTACGCTTAGAGTCCCATATTTGGTACATAAGATATTTTCAGACATTGACTCATAGATAATGAAATGTATATTTATTTCTGGACCAATTAAGGTGCCAGTTTCATTCGATTCATGTTTTAGTATGAATAGAGCAGTAATCCATTCTAATCTTGTGCTCCATTGGTCATTAGCATATGATTAAATATCTTTCTTGGGAAATATTGGAATTTATAATCTTATCATGAGTCAAATTTTTATGAACTTCGTGAACAGACTTAAAGCTATACCACTTACGTTCTCAAACTCAAACCTTTGGTTTATTGAAGTCAAATTGTCATCAGAATATTGTTAAATCATTAGAGATCCTACTACAAAATACAGACCTATTTTCATCAAACTATAAACAAAATTGTAGTCTTCAATGCTGGTTAAACCAATTTTGAGCTACTGTGCATGGTGGAAGATTTGAACGACATATAGAAGCGAGGAGCACATATAACAAAACACAAGACAATATTATGGAATATAACACACTTCTTTAATAAGGTTAGGCACATTACGTTTCAACACAATATACACGTGTCGTCATCAGATGCAGTTATATTCCATAATATTGTCTTGTGTTTTTGATATACTGTAGTGAAGTTGGGCCAAATACTGTTCATTAATTTATCAGTAAATCTTCAAAAATCAACCTAGTCTAGGACATTAACAAAAATACAGAGATCCGAAATTCTAAAACTCAATAATAGCTGTCGTGCCAGCATTTTCCATCATCGATTACCATAAATCTAATATTGTACCTTGTATACAATCTAGTGACTGGTATCCTGGTTGACATCCATCAATACATTCTCCTGTTTTACTCTCACATTGTAAATTACTATCTTTACATTTTCTATCTGAACATTTCATATCACAAACTTCACCATAAAAACCTTCTGTACAACCACCTTGACAGCTACCATAGATATGATGACATGGTGATGTTTCTATTAAACAATTTCTATCTGAACATAGTTTTAAACATCCAGCACCGTATGTACCATTATCACACACTAGAAATGTTAAGCGAAAGAATTTATGGATAAATGGTACAAACAGAGAAGATATACGTGTTAAAGGAAAGGTAACAAGATTTTATAAACTGCTTATATTTATGAGAGACCCTTATAGCATCTAAGCTAAATTTCCAGTCAGATATCTGTGAGTCTAGCAATTGCACTAAACCTAGGCCTAAGATACTATTAGCAGTTCATAGCACAGTAACGTCATGTATCTTCAAATAATTGTATGATGACAGGAACCACAGAATGCTTTCTAGAATATTAATGTGAATACAAATTGAGACAAAATTAAAGTTTTACTGTGTTATATCATATCAAGTCTGTAATATGTGTTAAAATTTGATAAACACGGTATGTAGAAAAATAACAAAACATAACTTTACTTTGACTACAAGTTGTTCCTGTCCATCCATCAGAACAACCATTAGGACATTCACCAGTCTCTGAACATCTTTCATTATTTAAACAATGACAGAAGTTGTTACAATCTGAACCAAACGTTCCTACAGAACAAACTGAAATGAAGAGATATTAAGAAATGACAGATGTAGAAATTGAGAATTTTGCTCACGTCAGACCACTAGAGTACCGTCTCTTGCGATGGAAAGATTACCCCGAGTTCATTCGACTACATTTTATACATTTAATGAAAATGAATAAAGTCTAACCATATATCTCCACTTCACATAATGTTAAATATCTTCCATTATGACTGATACGATCATTACTGATATTAACATAACGACCATATATAACATGACTACACTCTATATTTTTAACAAATGGTGGCGTCGAACTCAGACCTTCTTTATAACATAGTTCTGGTTCTCCATTCTCTTTAGTAACATGTAGTAAAATTCCATTCACTGATGCTAAATCTGAAAACAAGATTTGAAAAATAACACCAATAACAGAAATCTTACAACATGTTAATTATATATCACTGATATTTGACTATTTTTAGGGATGTTATATATATTTGATTATCAAAGTGAATTACCATTGTTAATAATAATATTTCTCTACTCACCCTTTTCCGCTGAAAGAGAAAAACAAAATAACAATTACAATCATGTTGTAATAATGGGTAAGTTCCCTTTTTCATTTCTAAATTAAAGATGTGTACCAACTTAGACCTGTATATTTGATACAAGACCTTGACCAGGAGCAAAACGTCCAGGTTTTATTCAGGTTAAGGTCTATGATATTTCTTTGTATCATGTGCTTTGGCATTATCCTAAACGGATTTGAGAATTTAGTGAATTTTGAAAGATGCGATAGAGACTGAGACTAGTATAGTTTGTAAATTTTGGACATTGTTAGTGAAAAACTTTAATCTTACGTTGGATGATGATGTGTTTAATAGGATAATCTTCTTCTAGATCTATTCCCAACCATTTACCAGTTTTACTATAGTTATAACATTTGTCAGGTTTATTAGTAGTTTTATCACCAGATTCTCTCTTTGTTCTGTTAGTCTCAACCTGACTTGGTGATTTATTTAAAGCTACATTCTCTATAAATTATTTATATCATTATTAAAGGGATGGTAAAGGAATTTAAACCGTGTTATTTATTTAACATGTTAGCTTTACTTACAAATTTTGTAAATGTTAAGTTGCTAATATTGAAATCATCGATTTGTGTTTAAAGTTTGAAGGATACAAAGCGTTAATATTATCTGATATTACTAGACATCGGCTAAAAAAGAGGAAGTTAATTTTGAGATGTTTTATCTCAATAGTGGACATGTCTAGATTTTGGTGGTAACCTTCAAAATGCTACCCAAAGTTTACCTTTCTGACAGGACGCACCAGACCATCCAGTAGCACAACCTTCACTGCATCTCCCAGTTTCTTTATGACATGGTTCATCATTAAAACAGTGACAGGTATAACTGTCATCAGGTCCAAACGTAGCACCTGTATTTAATATATTATAAACTAACTCATTTTATTTAGTTCAGTTTTATGACTGATATTACCTGGTGCAAACTTAACACCCATGTTTAATATATTATAAACTACGGACTGTTTCGAAATTAGAGTCCCCCTCCCCGACATATTAAATGAAATAGACACGGTTAAAAACTGAACTAATTTTTACTTCAGCAAACTGCAAAATAAACTGAAAAGCAGAAGTTATTTGTTGAGATTTTAAATGATCAAGACCCTCAAGGGGTCTTATTTACATACACCCTGTACATATTTCACTTTTGCTACTTAAAACGTGCTTTGGGATATTTACATCGGTTATGTTTGTTATCAGTTTAATCAAAATTAGACCAAAGTCTTGGTGTCGTTCTGTTTGATCAGTAGCTTTTATTGTTAATATAGCCACTTAGTTTTTATTGTTAATATAGCCACTTAGCATTTATTGTTAATAAAGCCACTTACCTTGTATTTTTAATATAGCCACCTAGCTTTTATTGTTAATAAAGCCACTTAGCTTTTATTGTTAATATAGCCACTTGGCCTTTTTTTGTTAATAGCAACTTAAGTTTTGAAGTAAATAGGTCACATTATCATGTAGCCAATTTGGGATGCTTGTTTTGGTATTAATTACATTGACTTACATTGAATGAGTGGTATGATAAATAATATTACAATTATCAACTTCCACAATCTAACCCACAATGACGTAGATGAACAAATTGTCATGATAGCGGCGTATTCTTTTCTGCTTCTACCAATCTGAGGCCTATATGCTGGTTCAGTCTGTAGTACACCAGATCTTGGGGTTTTCTCAGACTCTTCAACTTGTATTTCTGACACCGGGGAATACATCTGAAACAGAGTTGAATGCAGTTTCTAGCCTTGTGTCTGGATTGAACAAATTTACTGGTTGAATTGAGGTTTGTTCAATTTACCTTAGATTCCACAGCTTTCTGTTATGATTTACTGATCATCACTCTCGACACTATCACACTATCACACCATCATCACACTATCATCACCTTCGACACTATCATCACACTATCATCACACTATCATCACCTTCGACACTATCACAGAATCACACTATCATCACACTATCATCATCTTCTACACTATCACAGAATCACACTATCATCACCTTTGACACTATCACAGAATCACACTATCACACTATTACAGAATCACACTATCACAGAAGCACATTATCACAGAATCACACTATCACAAAATCACACTATCGCAGAATCACACTATCACTGTTATAAAAACTAAAAGTAATTTTTTGAACTGTATCCTGTAATTAAAACAAATATACTTATCAATCTAATCAATCTTATCAATCTTATCAATCTTATCAATCTAATCAATCTTATCAATCTAATCAATCTAATCAATCTTATCAATCTAATCAATCTTACCAATCTAATCAATCTAATCAATCTAATCAACCTAATCAATCTAATCAATCTAATCAATCTAATCAATCTTATCAATCTAATCAATCTAATCAATCTAATCACTCTCATCAATGTAATCAATCTAATCAATCTCATCAATCTAATCAATCTTATCAATCTAATCAATCTTATCAATCTAATCAATCTAATCAATCTTATCAATCTAATCAATCTAATCAATCTAATCAATCTAATCAATCTAATCAGTCTTATCAATATAATCAATCTAATCAATCTAATCAATCTTATCAATCTAATCAAATAAACCTTCGTTCCGTTTTTATAAATGATTTTTTATTTAAACTTTTCAGTTGGAATGCCTATATTTCAAATTAACGCTAATAAAAAACGGAACGAAAGTTTGGTCGTATTTTAATTTGTTTACTTTGAAGTTTGAAAAAAAAAACAGAATAGTGAACAGGGTGTTATATTACATGAAATGTTTATTGAATGGGGAATTCCCAGTTTTCTTGTTTTCCTTTTTTGTTGCTCAAATTTATGAAAACTTAACTTAAATAATCAAGCTGTTACTTCAGTCAAACTTTTTTTAAAGGCTGCCGTTAACTTTGTTCGTTGTGCTTTTTGGGTTTTTTGCATTTAAGTCAAAAAAAAGGTTATATAGAGAAATTTGTTTCTACATATTCTAAAGGTTTCAAATAAAAACAAATTATTCGGCCTTTTTAGATATGAACTGGCCAACTTCTCACTCGATTCTTAAATGTATATTGGGCGACGTTGGGAAAACATGAAAGAAATATAATATATAAAATACTTACTTGTTCACTACAGTTTTTCACTATGTTCAATTCCCCGCATTTTGGTAGCTTTTCATCTGGGGAAAATAAATTCTGGTAATGAATATTATTATTGATGTCATTAAAATATTCTGGTATATTGTACTTTTCCCTAAAAAAATATTTCGTTTTGTTATTTAAAATGGGAGAAAAATGTAACATTATCAGTCGATGATAAAAGTCTACTTACTTCATATCTACAGCTAGCGTGAGCAGATGATGAATATTATTTCTGATGTGGAACGTTTCATATATATTAGTCACTTCCTACAACGACATCAATAAGAAACAATGTTTCAACATCATATAAAATGACAATGTTTTTGATATTTTGAGAAAATTCCACACAATATAAACTGGCCTAAGGTCAACATAGTCAAAGTTGACTTGAAAGAAGTTTAATATATGATATAAGATTTGATGTACTTACTTGTCCAATACAATTATAAAGATCTTTCACTATTTTCATTAATTCTCTGATTTCTGGTAGCGTTTTTTTATAGCAATACAAAATCAGGTGTAAAAGATTATCAGTGATTAACGCTTTCTTGGTATTAAAACATTTTAAGATACTGTACTTTTTCCTGTACATTTTGATTGTATTACTCTTTTCCTACAACAAAATAAACGAGATATAATATTTCAGTAAAGTAAAAACAATGACAAAATCGGGAATTCAAAGTGTGATAATGAAAGGTTTAGCTGTAGATGATGATGTGTGATCAGTCAGATCAGAAGTTATTTGATACAACTGGAAGCATTAAGATATTTCAGAGACACCTCTCAAATTGTTTCTTCAGTTTAAGAAACTTGCACACAATATGAACTAGCCTAAGGTCAACTTCAGAGCACAGATGCTGCATTTTCAATTTTGGATTTTCATTCCGACTACACTTAAACCTTATACTGTGGAGGCAAATAACAAACCGGTAAAATTTCATATATCAATTCTTTTCTAAATTCCATATCTATTGTCATCTTGCTGAAACCATTGTCAGGAATTAAATTGATAACGTCAATAGGCGTCATATTTTGCTAAAACTATAAATTAATAAGTTGATAAACACATAAAATGTCCATGGAATCCCAACAAAACATTGCAGTAGATTTTACTAGAAGAAAATGTTAAAAAAACAGTTGAAAATCACTAAATTTGTCGAAAATTTTAAATGAACTGTTGGTGCAGTTTTATGTCAATCTTGATTAACATCAATTGGTGACTCCCTTCAGTTTCTGTTTGAAAACATATATACCTACAGAGTACCGACAAATACAAAAGGATATACATCATAATTATGTTTGTCATATATTTTAGCTAGTACCTCTATGAAAAACAAATATAAACATACTTCTAGGCCAATCGTTTGTGGATTGAGTCGTGGTAAAACTGCTGATAAAATAAGAGTGACCTATAAAATAGAAACCATTCTTTCATTCCCCTTGAATTATACTATTTATCTTACTTTCTCAATTTCAGCTCTTTCCAACAGGGAGTAAAGTGACTTTATGTTGAAAGTTGATCTCGACTAAAGAGAAAAAATGGATCAAATTCTTCGATCATTCAGTTGCAAGAAGTGAGATGTCCCAACCTTTATAAGAAAAATAGCTTACAAGACAAGATAAAAATACGCCCACACTCAGTAGCTTCGTTCAGTTTTTTTTTATATCGGATATCTATAAAATATCTTAACCTTGTCAAGGGCAATAACTCACCTTCACCCACGAGATCTTCATATTTTTGTATTATTAAATATTATAGAATCATCGGGCACTGTTCTGCATTTTTCTTTTAGCAACGGAAGATATTATCGATATTCCACCGTGCTTGAACAATCTCATATTCTCGTCATTAAAGACTAATAACCTCCCTAAACAGAGCATACGTCACCATTCAATTATCCAAACAGGAATCTCGTAACATTTGGTGTAAAAGGATGGAGATTGCAAATCTATCCATTTCTTTAATATTCACAAAAGATTTGAGAGCATTGTATGTCTTCGGGCACTGTTGCTGTTTCGCCCCCTCCCCTTCCCGTAGAGCTATCGATTTGAATTTATATGTGTCATGAATATTCACAGCAAATTAATTTAAAATGGACGGAAGCGTCGGAACTGTTGTGAAATATTCAGGATATAATTACCTCTCTGCTAAGTTTCAAATCGATTGCTCTACGGGAAGGGGAGGGGGGCGAAACAGCAACTTGTCAATCTATAAGTTATTTTCAAAATTTCCAGGTGGGTTTTTCCAGTAATTGATTGGTTTAGTCGTACTCGCTTTGCCAAATCATTGATTTAGGATACACATTCAACAAGCGAATAGATTCGGGTCAAATCGTCCCGGCATACAGATTTGCGGTAAATCGACCCAATATGAAATGTAAATTATTTTCAAATTAAATGTCGTTAAAATAACCTTCACTTTTTTTTTTTGGAGAAATGCACATAAGTATTCATTTGATTTCAATTATGTGGCCCTTATTCAGCCCCCAGACCGATTCCTAGAATCTACTGATTACAAGTTACCGAAACTGAAATTACTGAATTGTTTCCTCAAATGACACAAAAACAATCCTATCCTGTGAAATGTGGAACAAACTAGTGAATGAGTCAGATTTAATATGTGAAATGTTCAATTTTCTTTTCTTTTTTAACATTTTTCCATATTAAGAATAGAATTTAAACGTCTCGTGAACGGTGTCCCCCAAATAGTCATTCAGCAAATGAGGGATTAGTTAAAACAACATTAGGCATCTAGACTGGAAATTAGTCCTCTAATTATTCTCTAACATATTTATCTGTACTGAGTAAGGCACAGTCTTTGATAATGAAAACATCATCGTGAACTCAACTATTAAAGACAACTCTCGGGATCAAAGGAAACAACTTTGTCTACAGATATTTACCAAAAGAATTGGTTTTAACATTTTGAGTTTTTCTGCGATATATGTCAAGTGAAAAAAATTTTAAAAGCAAATGTGGCATAATTTATATTATACAAAGTTTCTTTACTTACATTTAATGATTAATGAAATAAATCTAATCAAAATATAAATCAAGGATATTTTTCCGCCGACTGCTGTTTCAAGAATGTAGTTTGTTTGTGTACAGGTTTCTATTTATTTAGTTATTTTAGTCAGTCAGCAAAGATATTAAGTTACATCCAGGTACGAAGTATACACCCGAGATTATGCTTTTACCTATTTTAATTATAGATATAATATGTTTGCATAAAGCAGTAACAATACGTTTTTGTTATCTTTCATAGAAATCCATTCCCAAGGCAAAGTATTTAGGTGTATGATACATGATTAGAAATTAAAGCCATTCTCGTATGATGGTATACATAGATATGAAAATAGTCATATTATTCAAGTACATACCCCACGTCTGTAGTTCCTGCAAACCGTTTTTGACGTCACTAAACGGGAAGTCCTTTTGTGATACAGATATTGGGATTAGTGACATCATCAAACATGGTTACAGGATAGCAATTTAGAATTTTTTTTTGCTACCAATATAGTAGGGCCATTTTTGATTAAACAATATTTATCCATGAATACGTAATATTTCCCACTTGTGTTACCACGGTTTCGAGGAAGTATGACGAATGGGGACGTTTTTCGATTATTCAGATTCTCCATAGGGATCATCCTTGAGCGATTACAGAAACTCACACGAAGTTTCACCAAAATCAGTCAATAATTGTGCCTTATAGACTGTTTTCAAGCACACGGGCAATTACGCATACAATAGAGTTCCTCCTTGGGTGATAACTAACACCCACACCAAGTTTCGTCAAAATCTGTCAAGACGCCAATATACACCCCAGGGTCATTGTAGATCTAGGTCACATTTTGTCTAATGCAAAGTCAAGAAGACATAGTCTATATTGTCAATAATGCAAAGTTAAGAATTCATTTTCGTAAAGGAAAGTTTGAATGGTGTCTGATGTGAAATAAAGTTTAAAAAGTAAACTATTTATATCTCTACTTTGTAATTAGTACATTGACTTTTTGATTTTAGGAAGGTTTATTTTGTAATTGTGAAATGTTGAAATATGACTTTGTAAAGTCGAGGCCTTGTTTTCAAGTTTGACTTTGTAAATACTTCTGGCAACGATCCCCCTCCATAGATCTAGGTCACATTTGTGTTGAAACGTCCAGTGTTAATCCCGGCATAGATCGAGATGATACCTTCGTTTTTTTTTAACCCGGTTTCTCCCTGTCAGTGATTCGGGTTAGAGGGGCTGTTTGGTCATATCAGAAATACTTCAAAGTTATATATTATTTGTTTGTGCTGGAGACGTTCCCGAATAAAAACTAGAACAGTTCCCTTAACAGTACTGATGCCGGGCGTGTTTTAGGCCATGCACACGCTTGAAGGATGTAAATTCAATTTTCAGTGACACCATAAAACAGGAACCACGTGTTGGCCATAAATAACATCATGTAAAAGCTGTTGTCAATATGTAGTAATTATTACTGTAAATATCTACTCCATCTGGAGCTGAAGTTCAATTTTCCTTCAATATGCCCAAATATCTCAAATTAATAATCTGAAGGTTGTGGGTTGTTTGGGTTTGAGATACTGCATTTCAAAAGTGTAAAATGTATCAAATTTAGACCTTTGTTTGTAAAATGACTGATCTGACCTCTAAGGTCAGGTCATCGAAAGTAACACGCCTTAAACCCTGTAAAAGATCATCTTGTCTTTGGAAAAAAGACAAAACCAAAAAATCGGAATACGGCTCAAGTTTTGAATGTATTCTTTGATACCAGCAATGTGCAAATCGGACAATAAATAGCTACAATATAGCAATAGCAATAATGAGGCAAACCCAGATGACAACCTGAATCTCACTTTCGATACGTATTTATTACAGTTTGTATAAGTAACCCTAAGCTTATGCGTATGCCATTTTTAACATAATTCAAATTCACCGGAAGTGATACCACTGGAAGTAGTAACATCGAAACTGGTGATGAAAACTGACTTTGCAGACTTATTTGCTCTTCCTAACGGTCTGCACCATATAAGTTCCAAATCGCTCGGCCAAATAGCAATCGAAATAGCATTTTTCGATTAATTTCGACCAAACAACTATTGAACGAATTTTTTCTGCGCGCCTCTACATGCTGATTTATTTTTATATACATACGAGGCAGAATACATGAAAGCACTCGTAAAATATAACAAACAACTAGTTTTAATTTCATTAAGCAGTATATAGATGATGTCCTCTCCTTAATAATCCTAAATTTAGTGAATATTTAGATTTCATATATCCCGATGAATTTGAAATTAAAAACACAAATGATGATGAAAATTACGCATCCCATTTGGATTTGCGTCTTGAATATGACCAAAAACAGACATTTAGTGTAAAATTATATAATTGTGATGATTTTGATTTGAAAAGCAAATTAGGCTTTACCACATAAGACCCTTTGCGATTAGTGACGTCATCGAACACATGGTTTAAGTGGAATTTCAGGAAACACAGACGCCTGATTGAAAATTTGAATGGTGCAAATTTATGCTATCAGTGTCCCCGATACACATACACATGTTTAAAAGCCGCCGTAAAATACTGAGATTGCCCGAATTTCTAACCTAGTTATGAGATTTTTGCCCGAAAAACTTGCTTTCGGTGCTGCGGCTGACCCCTCTCTTATCTAAAAACTTACAAAAAGAAAAAGGTATGACAGTTTTGTCTTCTCTTAATCGAAATTCATACGCGTGCGACCTTGTCAATTTATAATCAATGTCACGGGAATAAATATAACAAATATCATACCAAAAATATTGATAGATTCGTATGTGCCTTCTCTGACCTCGGTATTGCAGGCACATATTGTATTTTAAGTTTTGTTTAGCCCTCGCTACGGTCAAATATGTCATTGAACCGATCTACTAAGTCTAACAAATAGTTTAAAGGCTCTTGTCCTGTTCTATCGAATCGAAACTACCTTCTGCTAGCCAGGTTTGTTTTGCATGTATTATTATAACCTCTGAAAACTGGTAATCAACTGGATATTTGGACACATTATTGCCTTTATGTCATGGACAATTTTCTGACTAGTTTTATATCGGAACTGACACGTCATATAAGTCATAACAACACTAATAGCAATAATCTGATGTAACAAGAATAAATCAGTGAAGTATAAGTTTTTAAACTGTATCGGTGAGTCAGTTTTAATCCTGTATAGTGTCATATCTAATGTATTTTTCATAAATCGTGACTTTCAGTTTCTTGTATCATTTAATTTTCGGAGAATACAGTATATGATATGAAAAAAATATCATAAAACTTGTTTAAATAAGACCACCGCCCATATCCCCTTTCTGTAATAACTATAGAGTTATTTTAATTCACGAGATTAAGTCTTTCTCGGTGTGATGAGAAGTAGAGGTGTTCTAATGACTTGGAAAAATACCAGTTTGTCTCACATGTCCATAATTAATTCATAATTAGCTAAAATAGAAGAGAATTACCAGCGGAATTCCAATGAGGGACCGATCAAGAAAGGTCAAAAAGCCTTTTTTGTTTATCCAGACTGTCCATGCATTAATGATTGGTTAAAACTCTTAATTATATGCCAGAACATAATTATATAATTAAGAATACATGATGATTCAAAACACCAATTGATCAAATAGTTTGCTTAATTTGAAACTAAAAAATAAGAAAACCCATCTTTAAATACAATACCTTATCTATATTACATAATTCTTTCTCGGGACAGAAAGTGTTATAGATGTGTGAGTCATCACAACTGAATTAAAATAGATATTTACCCTAGTAATACGTCTTATTGATATATAAAAATCTTAACTGAATTAACAAAATCTAAATTTTAGCCTTTTATAAAACTCTAATGTTATTTATCTAATGTAAGTTATTGAACTGTATAGATATAAAGCAGGAAGGTAAAGATTTTGCTATAAAGGTTTTTTGAAGATATAAAGATAACACTGGCTAGAGTTAAATAATTTCAAAAACGAATTTTTACAAAAGCTTTCCGACTTCATAAATTTCTTAGATAAAAAGGGTTTGAAGTACAACATTACATATAAAAGCTAGCTTATTTACAGTTTTCTTGCCTAATAATATAACATTTCAAATTATGTACAACTATAAGGTATTTACACTATTTACGCTGCTTATGTTAATTCATGTTAGGATAAAACACGTCCGATTATAATATATTCAAGAACAGTAACGAGGTGTTTCCTATAAACTGTCAATAAATCCACGTTAACTTCACGTACACTCATAAAGTCTGTACTATAAAGTATCCAGGGTAATTTGTGCAGTTATGCTGAGTTATTCAAGTGAAAGGCCACTTCTCCGTCGTTTTGGTACATCTATCATCTATATCTTCTTCATTAGAATATTCAATTATGTTCCAGTTAGGAACAACTCTGTTCAGGGGAGATAATTGTCTCTAAGGCCGATTCAGTTTAAAAGATAAAACATCTTTAATATAATTTGAAACATCTTGAATATATTTTTGTAAATTGGTTAATTGTTTAGAGAAATTCAGTGTAATTCTATATTATTATGTTGAATACAAAATATAAAAAGTAGATTAAAAGTTAATGTAAAGAATATATTTCAGAAATTAGACCTTCTCAAGGAATGAGACCAAAATGATAATCTTGGTTGTTTCTGGATGATAGAGTAACTAGTGACTCAATGGTTATTACTTCTTGTTGTTCGTTCTTCATTGATTGGGACCTAAATTTAACACAAAGAATATTTTCTCAGTAGAAATAATACAAATGAATGACATGCCTTTCTGTTTTATTGTAAAAGCAATGTATACTCTAATTAACTTGTTTCTGGACACGCCAAAGGGAGGAACTAAGTCGACCATATATAGCATGACTACACTCTATATTTTTAACAATTGGTGGCGTCGAACTCAGACCTTCTTTATAACATAGTTCTGGTTCTCCATTCTCTTTAGTAACATGTAGTAAAATTCCATTCACTGATGCTAAATCTGAAAACAAGATTTGTAAAATAACACCAATAACTGAAATCTTATAACAATGTTATTTATATATCACTGATATTTGACTATTTTTAGGGATGTTATATATATTTGATTATTAAAGTGAATTGTCATTGTAAACAATAATATTTGAAAAATAAAACCATTAACTGAAAGATTGATTTATTTAGAATATAACAGATATTCTACTATTTTTAATTGTATTTGACTATCAAAGTAGATCGTCATTGTATTAATAACAATAATATTTCTCAACTCACCCATCATAGCTGAAAGAGAAAAAAAAATAACAACGTTGAATGATGATGTGTTTAATAGGATAATCTTCTTCTAGATCTATTCCCAACCATTTACCAGTTTTATTATAGTTATAACATTTGTCAGGTATATTAGTAGTTCTATCACCAGATTCTCTCTTTGTTCTGTTAGTCTCAACCTGACTTGGTGATTTATTTAAAGCTACATTCTCTATAAATTATTTATATCATTATTAATTTATTTTTAATATAGCCACCTAGCTCCACCTAGCTTTTATGGTTAATAAGGCCACTTAGCTTTTATTGTTAAGATAGCCACTTAGTTTTTATTGTTAATATAGCCACTAAGCTTGTATTTTTAATATAGCCACTTAGCTTTTATTGTTAATAAGGCCACTTAGCTTTTATTGTTAATATAGCCACTAAGCTTGTATTTTTAATATAGCCACTTAGCTTTTATTGTTAATAAAGCCACTTAGCTTGTATTTTTAATATAGCCACCTAGCTTTAATGTTAATATAGCCACTTAGCTTTTATTGTTAATATAGCCACTTAGCTTTTATCGTTAATATAGCCACTTAGCTTTTATTGTTAATATAGCCACCTAGCTTTGATGTTAATATACCCACTTAGCTGTTATTGTTAATATATCCACTTAGCTTTTATCGTTAATATAGCCACTTAGCTTGTATATTTAATATAGCCACTTAGCTTTAATGTTAATATACCCACTTAGCTTTTATTGTTAATATACCCACTTAGCTTGTATATTTAATATAGCCACCTAGCTTTTATGTTAATATACCCACTTAGCTTTTATTGTTAAGATAGCCACTTAGCTTGTATTTTTAATATAGCCACCTAGCTTTAATGTTAATACCCACTTAGCTTTTATTGTTAATATAGCCACCTAGCTTTTATCGTTAATATACCCACTTAGCTTTTATTGTTAAGATAGCCACTTAGCTTGTATTTTTAATATAGCCACCTAGCTTTAATGTTAATACCCACTTAGCTTTTATTGTTAATATAGCCACCTAGCTTTAATGTTAATATACCCACTTAGCTTTTATTGTCAATATAGCCACCTAGCTTTAATGTGAATATACCCACTTAGCTTTTATTGTTAATATAGCCACTTAGCTTGTATATTTAATATAGCCACCTAACTTTTATGTTAATATAGCCACTTAGCTTGTATATTTAATATAGCCACCTAGCTTTTATGTTAATATAGCCACTTAGCTTTTATGGTTAATATAGCCACTTAGCTTTTATTGTTAAGATAGCCACTTAGCTTGTATTTTCATTATAGACACGTAGCTTTTATCGTTAATATAGTCACTTAGCTGTTATTGTTGATATAGCCACTTAGCTTTTATTGTGAATATAGCCATTGAGCTTTTATTGTTAATATAGCTACTTTGCTTTTTGTTAATAGCAACTTCAGTTTGGTTGCTTCTGATTAAGTTATGAGGTAAATAGGTCACAATGTCATGTAGCCAATTTGGGATGCTAGATGAACAAATTGTCATGATAGCGGCGTATTCTTTTCTGCTTCTACCAATCTGGGGTTTATCTGGTGGTTCAGACTTTAGTACACCGGACCTGGGGGTTTTCACATTATCACACTATCATCACACTATCATCACCTTCGACACTACCACACTATCACACTATCACAGAATCACACTATAACGGTTATAAAAACTAAAAGTAATTGTTTTGAACTGTATCCTGTAATTAAAACAAATATACTTATCCTTCGAGGCAGTCTAATCAAATAAACCTTCGTTCCGTTTTAGTTGGAATGGCTATATTTCAAATTAAAGCTTATAAAAACGGAACGAAAGTTTGGTCTTATTTCATTTTGATTGCTATGAAGTTTGAAAAAAAACCAACAGAATGGTGAACAAGGTGTTATATTATATGAAATGATTATTTAAAGGGACATACAGGTTTTTTTTCGTTTTTCTTTTTTCGTTTTCAAAATTTTTGTTGCTCAAATTTATGAAAACGTGTCCATAGACCTACCTGAAAGGTTTAACTAAAAATTTCCAGCCGTTACTTCTCTAAAGCCAAACTTTTTTAAAAGGCTGCCGTTAACTTTTTAAATGCGTTGTGCTTTTTTTTTTTTGGATTTAAGTAAAAAAAGGGTTTTGTAGAAAAATATGTTTCTACATATTCTAAAGGTTTCAAATAAAAACAAATTATTCGGTCTTTCAAGATACTGAACTGGCCAACTTCTCACTCGGTTCTTAAATGTATATTGGGCGACGTTGGGAAAGCATGAAAGAAATATAATATATAAAATTTGATGTACTTACTTGTACGGAAGCGTATTAGGGCCATTCATTTTTTATTTTTGGAATTTTAAAGTAAGTATGTTGAATTTTCAAGTTAGTATGTTGAATTTTCAAGCTAGTATGTTGAATTTTCAAGCTAGTATGTTGAATTTTCAAGCTAGTATGTTGAATTTTCAGGTTAGTATGTTGAATTTTCAGGTTAGTATGTTGAATTTTCAGGTTAGTATGTTGAATTTTCAGGTTAGTATGTTGAATTTTCAGGTTAGTATATTGAATTTTCAGGTAAGTATGTTGAATTTTCAGGTTAGTATGTTGAATTTTCAGGTTAGTATGTTGAATTTTCAGGTTAGTATGTTGAATTTTCAGGTTAGTATGTTGAATTTTCAAATGGCCCTAATACGCTTCCGTATAAATCCGTCCGTTTTGTAATTTGGAAATATTTAAATCTTTTAGAATTAAGGAAAATTATTTTTTAGACTTTTTAAATGAAACATTCCACAGGGAAAATTGTATTGTATTTTTCTTTTGTTGTACTAGGAACTGGGCAAAATCACAATGTTTTCATCATCACATTGCATGTATCAGCCGAAGACAATCGCCTGGAAGAACAATTACACAGAATTTGGGACGTCGAAGCCATGGGATTAACGTCCACATCAATACTAGAAAGCCTTTGAGATAATTTGAATTTTGATGGAGTCAGATACACAGTAAAGTTGCCATGGAAACAACCACATCCTTTATTGCCAGATAATTATTCCTTGAGTCTCAAAAGATTTAGAAATTTATATAAGAGATTAGAAGTCAATCCAAAACTTTTGAACGAGTATGACGCCATCATTAAAAAGATTCCTGTTTCTTGATGATATCAACAGTTTCGAACCACAACCAAAGGTTTTCAGATTCACTAGAGTGGTATTTGGATTGACATCGAGTCCATTTCTCTTGAATGCCACTTTAAAATATCATATGGAACAGTACGCCACGGAGCAACAAGATTTTGTACATAAATTTCTGCGATCCATATATGTGGACGACCTAACTTCGGGAGCAGCCACTGATCAGAAAGCCAAGGAATTTTACGAAAACGCCAAATACAACCTAGCTTCAGCTGGATTCAACCTTCGAAAATTTACTTAACCAAATAATAATCCAGAAAGAAGCCGTAAATGGAATGAAAATTGACAATGATCTGGTAGAGCCAGTAATCAGGGAAGAAGATAACACGTATACAAAGTCTACATTAGGTGATTCCACTAATGAAGATGAGATAATTCTTGGTGTGAGATGGAATTCAACATCAGATCATTTCATCTTTGATATCAGTGAAATAGCTGATTATGCCAAAGACAATACTCCAACCAAACGCCATGTAGTCAGTGTAGCCGCAAAAATTTTCGATCCACTTGGTTGCCTTTCGCCATTCATCGTTAAATTTAAGCTTTTCTTTCAAGAACTCTGCCGCACCAATCAAGATTGGGACACCCCATTAGAAGGAGAATATCTTAACCATTGGAACCACCTTTTAGCCGCACTATCATCTATGCCATCGACATCTATTCCGAGATATTTCAATTGTGGTATACTTGAGACAGTAACCAGTTATGACGTCATTGGATTCTGTGATGCCTCAACCATAGCCTATGCCGCAGTTGTTAACCTGAGAATTAATACCCGTAATGGATCCTTCATCAGATTTATAGCATCAAAGACAAGAATTTCGCCGCTTTCCCCTACCACTATACCAAGACTAGAATTGCTGTCCGCTTTGATACTTTCACGACTAATTAACACCATCAATGAAGTTTTAAAGGAAGACATCCAGATATCAAACACAATATGCTTCACTGACTCCAAAGTAGCATATTATTGGATAATTAACGAAGCTGGTGAATGGAAGCAATTCGTTCAAAATAGGGTTAACGAAATCCACACACTCACTTCAGTCAGCAGTTGGAGACACTGTCCCTGAGCCAGCAACCCAGCAGATTTGCCTTCAAGAGGAGCAGATCCATATTTATTCTGGGAGACTCCACTTTGGAATAATGGACCAGAATGGTTGCCAGAGTATTCGATACAGAGCCAAGAGCCAGGTGAAGATGGGAACTCTTTGCCTGAATTAATTTCAGAAATGAAGAAAGCCAAACAACACACTGTCTTGTTGACTGAATTAAACGGAGCCTCGATCAGTAATATTATAGATTATTCAATGTACAACATCGATCGCCTTTTTAGAGTAACATCATATGTTTTGAGGTTTATTCACCACTTGAAGTCAAAGAAAAGAGAGCCATAGCAGGAGAGAAATAAATGAATTTGGAATAGCCAAAGAAGATTTACTCAACGCCGAAATATAGTTGAGGGAGATAGAGTCAGAAATTCCACAATATAAGAATTTTGAAAACTGGAGAAAGCAATTTGATATATACACTGATCAAGATGGAATCTTAAGATGCCGTGGAAGACTAGGTAATTCAGATCTCCCTGAATCAACGAAATTCCCGGTACTAATTGACGATGCACCATCTGCTCCACCTCTGCCAGATTTTAGAGTCAGAAGATCTTTCCCATTCAGTCATATTGGTGTTGATTTCGCTGGACCCATGTTCATCAAGACGACAACCGATGAGTTACAGAAGACATGGTTATGCCTATACACTATACACAGATATGTCAACTCATGCCTTTATATGCAGCTTCAGAAGATTTACATCACGACGAGGGACACCAGTACATATAATCTCAGAAAATGGTAAAACGTTTAAAGCCGCGACCAAAATACTCCATCAGATGAAGTTGTCATTTAACTTAGAGAAGGCACAATGGTGGGGAGGGATCTTTGAAAGGATGATTAAAAGCGCCAAGAGATGTCTCGAGAAATGTATTGGAGGAGCCAGATTGACCCACGATGAACTCGGAACCGTTATAACGGAAGTAGAAGCTGTATTAAACTCTAGACCAATATCTTATGTCACTACAGAAGATATAGCAGAGCCACTCACCCCATCGCATCTTTTACATGGTAGACGTTTGTTAGACAAACCAGAAGATAAAAATGCCATATATCAAGAAGTCACCACTTCAGATTTAAGATCCAGATTTGATGATTTTAATTCGTTGCTTGAAGACTTTTGGAGTCGCTGGCGTTATGAATACCTACTTGAGTTACGCAATTCTCACAATACGGGTATCCAGGGATCCAGAAGAATAGCCAAGGACGACGTTGTAATAGTCCATGATGATAATCAACCCCGAACAGTATGGAAACTTGGAAGGGTAACACGATTTATTACTGGTAATGATGGCAATGTTCGAGGGGCTGAACTACTAGTACAGAGTAAAAATGGAAAAGTCATTACTTTAAAGAGACCTTCCAACGTCTGTATTCAATTGAAACGAGCATCCGAGATCGTGGAGCTACTGATTCTGTCATCGAAAGAGCAAGACTAGATAATCAATCCAAAATTCATTCAGATGAAGCTATTGGAACTACTCAGTCATCTACGCAAACTGATGAACTTCGACCAAAGAGAACAGCAGCCGTCAAAGCTAGTTCAAAGATAAAATCATGGATTAAAGAACTTGTGCCCAATAATATAAGTGCCAATCTCATGAACATTATTTTGTTTTATGCAATGTGCTTCACGAGCTGTGTGTGATGACCAGCTGTTTCATTTCATTACAGTTTAGCTACATCGGGGGAGTGTATGAGATTTGGAATTTATGTACATTTTAGGAACTTTTCTTTTGGTTACAAATTTGTCTTATACTTAGGTATTATATAATAGTCCAGATTATCACATTTTGAAATGCACGTTACAAAGTCTGGTTGGATGTTCGTGTCTATTATGATTGATTTGACGTAATAAGAATACAATCCTCTTTATTTCAATATAAGCCATGTTTCTTTCTCGAATCTGCTAAAATTATAAGCCTTACAGCCAGAACCATTCCATGACAGATTGTCGCCAGATCTCCCACAGTCTACGAGGCAAATGTCTCATGGCGAATTTGACAAAAACAGGAAAGATATTATGTCTACGGACAAGGTGGTTACTGTTTAAAGTAGGGGGTAATTTTCAAATGTTTCGGGGTTTTGAGGCGCCTTGTAATCTAGCATAGAATTTTTGGACAATTATATCTTAAATTGTTGTTTTCAATTAGACTATATTCTCCACATGAAAAAGAAAATCACGAAATAGAAGGGTGTTCAGGGGTAATGAAATCGATCAACGATCCTGAAAGGGGTAAAGGTTGAAAGCCCTTGTTTAAAACCAACCCGGACGTCTCGTCCAACAAAAGTTGCCTCATAGTACAAAGACCATAGTTACAGCCGTGATGATGGTTGTTTCAATGGAAATGTTTTGTTTGTGTTTTTTTTAATCAGAGAGTTTATTTCAAATGCTAACTTTCCCATGACTTGAAATCTTATGTTTGCTCAACCGTAGTTAATTTGTGCTTAATAAAATATCATTTAACTTCTTGATGGTTTATGGGGGTGTAGTAACCTGTATAAAATACGAATCAAATCATCCAGATATGTATTTAAATCAGATGGCGGATGCTGTCAGATGATATGAAGAAAACTATTAAATGTAAAGGGGCGTTTGACTGCAAATAAGAATATCGGTTATATATTTCGAATGCAACACTCATGCATGTGAGTTGTGAGTTGCGTCCTGTGCTGATGCTCATGGCTCATTATTCGCAACTGGTAATCATTATGGTGTGAGGGCACATTACGCGTTGGTGAACTTCACGACAATAAAACCAGCGAGTATCTTACATCCGTTTTCAGCCATAATAAATTTGCGCCATGGAAGCCCATTCTACGCTAAAAGTGGATTTCTGACTGTAAATAAATGTGAACGACACAAGATTAGTCAGGTCAGTAGGAAAGGGGTTGGTGTTAACATATTTTATTATACTTAGTCCTCTCACACCGCATACCCCACCAGACACCGTGTGTAGTCTATTCCCAGCTTGACAGCTTTACTCAATGGTACGTCGTATATTCCCAGCTTGACAGCTTTACTCATTGGCACGTCGTATATTCCCAGCTTGACAGCTTTACTCAATGGCACGTCGTATATTCCCAGCTTGACAGCTTTACTCAAGTGCACGTCGTATATTCCCAGCCTGACAGCTTTACTCAATGGCACGTCGTATATTGACAGCTTTACTCAATGGCACGTCGTATATTCCCAGCTTGACAGCTTTACTCAATGGCACGTCGTATATTCCCAGCCTGACAGCTTTACTCAATGGTACGTCGTATATTCCCAGCTTGACAGCTTTACTCAATGGCACGTCGTATATTCCCAGTTTGACAGCTTTACTCAAAGGTACGTCGTATATTCCCAGCTTGACAGCTTTACTCAATGGCACGTCGTATATTCCCAGTTTGACAGCTTTACTCAATGGTACGTCGTATATTCCCAGTTTGACAGTTTTACTCAATGGTACGTCGTATATTCCCAGTTTGACAGCTTTACTCAATGGTACGTCGTATATTCCCAGTTTGACAGCTTTACTCAATGGTACGTCGTATATTCCCAGTTTGACAGCTTTACTCAATCGTACGTCGTATATTCCCAGTTTGACAGCTTTACTCAATGGCACGTCGTATATTCCCAGCTTGACAGCTTTACTCAATGGCACGTCGTATATTCCCAGCTTGACAGCTTTACTCAATGGTACGTCGTATATTCCCAGCTTGACAGCTTTACTAAATGGTGTCAAAACCAGGCCCGAAGAGAGAGCCTGGTCAAAACGACACAGATAAACACTTATCTTCTCAAATTGATTCAAAAAGTAAATAAAAATTCTACATTTTCAAAATTTTATTAAGCTCTAAAGTAACTACAATGAAGAGCGGTATAGAAATACCACTGTTAAAATGGTACTCAATACATCAATTGCAGAGAGTTATAGATAGTTATAGATATCCCACTGTTAAAATAGTACTCAATACATCAATTGTAGAGCGATATAGAAATACCACTGTTAAAATAGTACTCAATACATCAATTGTAGAGCGATATAGAAATACCACTGTTAAAATACTGTTCAATACATCATATTCATATTATAGTCCACAAAACAGAGTCTAAGCGAATGTTATAGTGAAAGTAATGTTTAAAAAAATAGAACAAAATAAAGCTACAAAAAACATAAGTTGAGGGGGGCCAAAAAGGGGTCACAAAATTTTCCACCGGCTACAGGCCATTCTTTCACTATATAAAATGATTAACAAATTAAAGTGGGCAACCTTATTTTTTTTTGGAATGAATGAAAACTTTGAATCACCTTTATCATATTATTGTTCATATTTAGTTGATACAATTCTGTGGAATGAAAGATACCTGTGTACATCCGGGTACAAATTAAATAATAAAAGGACAGAACAGTTCAGTTGTTGAGAATAATAATCCGTACATGCAGGACAATTCCGTCAATCAAAAGTTTCGTCCAACGAATGGCTAAAATCGGTAAGTAAAGTAAGTAAAGTAGAGAAGTACCATCAGGTGTTTCGAAAGAGTAAGCATTGTCTGCTTCATCAAATGTTTGATAGATCAGTAATAGTGTAATCAGCCGAATTCGAAATGGTTATGCATATAGGAAATCTAATTTAGATTCTGTAGTGGACTGATCCATTATTTAATCTTGAATGGGACACGGATGTGTACAGATACCTTTGTTGACCCTAGTCCACGCCCCTTAAGGGGGTCCCATCACCAACACAGAAAACAATGTCAACACAAAAAAAAAATAGATACAAAGTAAGTATCTAAAACATTAACAACAGACTGAAAATCTTTAAATCGTCCATTAACAGCCACTTACAGAAGGTTCTCAGAATGTAGGAGAGAATGTAAGGAAATATGAACCAAATAAAGCTACAAAAAATATAAATATGAATGTAGGGACCATGTATTTTAGTATCTATTCTATTCTAATATTAGTATTAAAAAATAACTACAATAAAAAATATTTTCACCGTTAAAATACAATACATCAATTGTAGATTGATAAAGAAATATAAAATGTAACTAAAAATATATGAAATTAAACCAGGATATTTCGAATTATTCTGTTGGAAAAGATTGTGGTAATCTATCAGTCTGAAAAACAAACAAGGTATAGTTCATTATCATCTCAAAATCTCACTAACCACCGTTTACAGGTTTGGACATTGTTATTATGGGTCCAAAATATAACATTCATTCAAAAAAAAAAAAAGACAGCATACAGTTTTAGAAGATCGAGAATTTCATCTACCTAAAAAGTTGAATGAACACTACTTCTCAGAATGGAAATAAATTTTAAAGTCACAAACCTTGTCAATAAGTGTATATATTCATCAGTTGGACTTACCAGGTGTCATGATTAAAGAATAGAATCTCTATATAAGACACTGTATCCATTAAATAATTAATAGAATTTCTATATAAGACGATATATCCATTAAACTAAGTAATTATTGAAACACGCTTCCAAGCATCTTTCAAAATTTCTTAGTTTAATGGATTATTACCTACTGATGAACTGATAAAATTTCAATTTTTTTCTCATTCTAAGAGGTAGTATACCTTTAATTTTCTGCTATATTCTTTGTCTTCTCTTACTTTGTCTTCACAAACAAAAACAAAATTTTCCATTATAACATGATTTTCACCTAATAAAGGCAAATTGTTAAGAAATAACCAGTTTTGGTATTAAAATAATTACCTTTAATGTGCATTTATTTTTTTCGCTCCATTGTTTAAAGGCTCCTTTAGCATCTTTTTCATCATCAGGTGACATTTTTTCTTTAGAGTAAATACACATCATATGTTCTTCAAAGACTTTGGGTAGCATGAGAGAGATCTATATGAAAGAAATGCAAACTACAACTGAGAACAGCTCGGCCCGAGTCGAGATCTTGTTCCATGGCTTTTAGACCTTTTCGAACTTCGAGTCTTTTAGCACTTAACCCCGATGCTTTTAAGCAGGGTTCAATTTAAGCGGTATCGAATTGCAGTTTGCGATTCAAAATGACCCATTTTGCGATCCGATATTTTCTGTGATTGGCCTAACTTAAAATGTATCATATTTACTACTAGAACATTATAAATTACTACTGAAATGTTAATAAATGCGAATCAAAATTTAACTTGATTAGCAAAAAAAAAACAGAAATTTGTTCCAATGGATTGCTTATCATTTTTTTTCAATCTGAATTGAACCCTGCTGGTTATCATCAACAATAAACCTTCTGGTAAATAATCAAGTAAATAATTACACTCCAGAAATATCACCTCAAAATTCACCTCAAAGAGTAAAAAAAAATAAAGAAAAAATAAAATAAAATTTGATTATTTAAGATATTGTTTTAAACCGTTGTCACCTATCATTTAAAAGAGACAAAAAAATCTATTCTGATTATGAAACCATAGATAAAGTTTGAATTTGAGCCGTAAAAAAATTGATATTTTTACTATATGCATTATGTCATTTTCGGTTTAGCAAAAATGTCAGTTAGCATATTAATTTTCTAATCCAATACCTTTAAAATGTATGGTCAACACAGAAATACTTTACCAATTTAAATTCTGCTTGAAATAAAATAATCAGTATAAAAACAAAACGTGACAAATCGTTAACGAAACTACCAGAACTACAAACGTCCATACGAACCTCCTCTTCTTTCAATTTCTTAGCAACATTTGGGTATTTTTTGGAATAAAACCTCATGTTCTTCACCGGATTCTGGTCTTTCATACTGTAATCAAATTTGACATACTGAAAGAAAAAACGAGAATACAATTTACTGTTAGGTATATTTTGTAATAATTGTATAATAGTAAGACGTATTAGATTTAAGGATAATGCTGAACACATTCTAAAAATCCGACTTTTTTAGAAGTACACAAAACAAGGAATACTTCATCTGGTGAAATTTATGAAAGGTTAAAACCATATTCACGATATCAACTAAAACCTTCATTTGAATAACTGGTACTTTATAAGTATATATCACACGGTTAATACTTGATAAAGCATTGATAGGATAGGACGGCAATCGAAGACCCCTTTTACAGGTCTACACATTAGAACGGTAACTAAAACAAGCTTGTTTCAACTACATGCAAGGAATTCCGTCAGGTAGAAAGTATAACAAAGGAAGTTATAAGACACCTTTTAAGAGTCACTAAACTATTTCATTCTACGAGCTTTCGTCGTCGTCGATACGACTTCATCAGGTGAAATGATTTTGAAAATATTAACGATGTAACTAAAGACAGGTCTTGAATATTGTGGAAATAAAAAATAAAATTAACGAAAATGGGAAACAAAATTATAATCACTATTGAGGTTAAAAAGTATATCAACTTATTTCTTACCTTCATTGCGATCTTATCAGCAGACAAACATTTATTTAATTCCTTTAATTCTTCCAAAGTGCTTTGTTCGAACTCCTGAAGGTTAGAAACAAAGTTAAGGAGGGGACTGGAATAGCAATAGAAATAGAATATTATTCATATCACTGATTCCAAATAGTCTATAAGAAATTAATCAACCTGACGAGTATAGCTTTTGTGAATAGTGGTATTGTTAGTACAAAATTGTTGTTCAAAATTAGGAAACAATAGAGGCCCGAACCAATAAACATTGGCCTCACTGAACTAGCCTTCACGATAATGTCTATCTAGGTGATTTGGGACATTTAAGACACGATGTGAAAAACGTCAAAGAAATCCGATATAAAATCAGTATCAAGCCTTACTTGTATCACAGCATATTTATTGGATGGTTTTCCTGGATCTTCTTTTATATCTTTGGTTTTCTGTTGAATAAAAAAAAATTAGAAAAGAAATTGATTTGCAACGAAATGACGAAAACCTTCTCTACAATCAGTTAACAGAGCGTTCTAATTTTACCAATATAATAAGTTATAGTATATATTATTATATTAACAATATTATTAATGCTACACTATTTGATTCTGATTTTTATTTCAACCAAAAACCAAAATGAATTGAATTTAGTACTTTCGTTACAAAATCTGCAGGAAGGATAGTTTGTCCAATACACTTATATAACTGGCGATTTTCCACTCGTTCTAGTAATTCTCTGGCTTTCTGTAGATCTTTGTCGGTGGAATATAATATCTGGTGAAAAATATTATCAGTGAGCTTGGTGAAAGCTACCATGTCATGAATACAATCTGATATTTTACGTTTTTTCCTGAAAAAAGGAAATAAACAAAGTTCACAAAACAGACGATAGAACATCGGACCACCTTCTGGAAAATAGCCCGACATGTCGATAACAAGGTAGTTAAGTGTGTAAAGTACTCCGGCATTCAACGTTATCTTTATTCGTTTGTGGCAATCTTCACTGTTGAGGACCAAGCCAACAGTTTTGAAAAAACCGAAAAATCCCCACTGACTCCATTTGCGTAGCGTCAAGGCGGGCGATGTTTTAAACGGCTAAGAAATCGCTCTCAATACATTAGTGTACATAAACGAACTCATTTTGACAAACTCAAGACTGACCACTGAATGTAAATGTTCTGCGAGAGACATTGTTTATGAATGTTGTATGTGTGCGGATAAAGACTGAATCCTACGATACGATGCTCATACGATGTTGAACGTGGAAAATATTAGTTGCTCTCGGTCCTGCCCTGAATCGTGAATTTTATTTTTTCGGCTTTCTGTACTAAAATATGAAAATAGCAAACTGAAGATTTTATTCTACATTTTTAAAAAAATAAACCTTGGTATAAATTTAGTTTGAAACGTACCCATCTTTTCCAGGAAGTTTTATCACTTTAGATTCGTCGGCTAAAACAAACGCTTCCACATGCCTGAAATCAGAAGATTATTAAACTATATTTGTTCTACATCTTTAATATTTTTTAAATCGATCAATGGAATGTGTAATATTATTAGACGTGTTGAGGATAAAGGTCTACTTACATCATCTCTACACCTAGCGTGACAGTATGCTTATATACCTGATGGTGAAGATTATTTCTAATATGGAACATTTCGTATATATTACTAACTTCCTGCAACGACAAGTGGAAACATCATGTGAGACATTTTGGTAAAAACTCGATGTTGTCAAAGTGACGAGAACGATATTGGTTACCAAGGGTCAGCATAGCTATAAAAAGCCTAGTAAAAGAAGAATCAACAAGTTACCTGTCACCATCGGTCTAAGGTTGGTGAGGACAAGACGCCAAATCTGCCAGGTGAACGAGTGAACGGTGATGAACCCCCGTTTACTGGAGTGGATTATTTTGGACCAGACGAACAGCATGAGATCAGAGTTTTATGTGTTCATTACCTCTTGACTAAAGTTTAAGTTCGACTCTAAAACTATAGTAATAAATACCAGGGCAGTATTTGTATATACAGGGTGTATTCACTTTTCTACCAATTTAGTGTAAATTTGGTTGTTGTCTGTGACATAATTAAATTATATTTTGATCAGAGTGGTGTCCCTTTCTGGAGCATCGACCTTGACCTCCGTCTGGCCCTTGGGCTTGGTTCACGCTGTCTTTCGCAATTTTTTCTTCAGCATAATTTTATAAAACTAGCCACATTTATATCAATCTAATCATGGACAAGCATGGGAAAGCTAAGAGTTCCAACACTGCGGAAGATTATGACGTAAAAGCTGAAGATATAAGTTTCCTGGAGGAAAATGTTGCCTTGGAAAATAGGCCCCATCAAGCTGGAAGGAGTGTAAGCCCATATTTTGACGGAGATTTAAAACTTGGACCAGGTCTGACGGACGGGCTCGTTGACGAAGTGGCAACTCTTGAGAAGACGCTAACAAACCTTCGTCTTGAACGGCGTAAATCGCACCTCAAACGAGAAATCGACCAGGAGAGAAACCTGATTCGTGAATCACCAATGCAGATCCACCCCAAGCTGCCCGCTTTTGTACCCAGAATCGACTCACCACGGTCTACATTATCTGCTACAACTACCCCAGGTAGGAACTCCAATCATTCCTCATCAAGTCCAAGGCTAGTGCATAACTATATCTGGGATGACCCAGTTCTCTTTGACAGAGATGACATAGTTACGGTTGGCAATACTGGTTTAAAAGTAGACGACTGGACAAGGAGTACTATAAATTAAACATAGAGCAGTGGGGGTACGGCAATACGTGTATCCTCAAAGATCTCATCCATAAAGGAGAGATTGGCGACAGTGGCATCAAGGATTATTTAGAATACACAAAGTAGATTAACAGACTCTTTATTCGGTACGTGATGGGAAGTGTTCTCTTATTTGATAAAGAGTATCGTGAATTACAGCATAGAGACAAATTTAGCAGGGGTACTCCACAGTCTCATTTACAAGATTTCCAGCTGATTCCAAAATCTGAAAATCCGTCGTTACAAGTATTGCAGGGTCGTACCTATCAGAATCAGCGACGTAGAGGCCCTTTTACCCCAGAGGATCACGAAATTTGTCGTAAATTTAACTCAACTCTTGCGACTTCAAGGACTGCAAATTGGCTCATGTGTGCTCAACCTGTTTTTCAGATCATAGTAATTTATCGCATTCAAAAAATTAAGTGGCGAGTCAGGGGAAGCGTTTACCTTTAGGTCGTGTCTTAATTATCATGCCTAGGATACTCTGTTATCACCAGATGACCCCGATAGAATTTTTATATTGGCTGGGGTAAGAGAAGGCTTCAATATAGTAGACCTAGAGCCGAACGCTGCCTTGACTCCTGTTGAAACAAATAACTATGGATCCTGCAAACAATATCGCTTACTTGTTGAAAAACCAATCTACAGTGAGATTGCCAATGGTAACTATGTGATATCCCATTCAAAACCTGAAATTGTGAGCGCTTTAGGTGCAATACCAAAGACAGATTCAAAAGTTCGTTTAATCCACGATGCTAGCAGGTCTACTGGAAAATCCGTGAATGATTTAGTCCTTGGCGATAATTCCTGCTCCTATATGGACTTACGTCAGGCTTAAAAAATTATCACTAAGCAATCATATTTGGCTAACATAGACCTTAGCTCGGCTTATCGATCAGTTTCTATTCATCCGTCAAATTATAGAGTGACTGGCCTTAAATGGACTTTTACAGGCGAGTCAGAGCTTACTTATATGATAGACACTAGGTTACCTTTTGGCTCTTCTTAGAGTCCAAAGATTTTTCAGACTCTTAGTGCTTCCGTTTGCAGAATAATGAAAACACGTTACGGTTTCAATATTATATCATATCTAGATGACTATCTTATCATTGAGAAATCTTATGAGACTTGCTTCGAAGCCATGCAAACTTTGATGATCTTGTTGCGAGTGTTTTTAATAAACTATTCAAAATGTGTGAGCCCTACCCAAAAGCTAGTGTTTCTTGGCATCCTGATTAATACCTGTGCTATGACTTATTCTCTGCCTGCAGATAAAATTTATGAATTTGTAGATTTATTGTTTAACTTTGCTACAAAGAAACGTGCAAATCGTAAGCAGCTCGAGGTTCTCATTGGAAAACTGAATTGGGTTTCGCAGGTAATTTGCGGTGGGCGCACTTTTTTACGCCGTATTATCACTTTAAAAGATAAACAAACGCATCCTTCCCACAAGGTTTTGTTGTGTGGTGATTTCTTTTGTGATTTGCAATGGTGGATAAGCTTTATGAAAACTTTCAATGGAACATGCATTATCCCTGATCCCAAACCAATAACATCCCTTCAAACAGATGCTTGTACCGAAGGTGGCTGTGGATACCTAAATGGCGACTAGATTTATGTCAATTGGCAACTAGACATGTCTTTCAGGATGAACATATGAATGTCAAAAATTTTTATGCATATTTCTTGCCGTGTGTCGGCGGGGAAACTATTTCAGGAACAAACGTGGTATAATCCATAGCGATAACGTAAGTGCAGTGTCGTGGATAAATATACGGTCGTCAAGAAACAAAGTTGTGATGTTTGCGTGTCGTTTATTATTCTGGATGTCCGCTTCTTTAAACTGTACAATTGTGTGTAAATATATTCCAGGCATTCGTAATATATTGGCAGATACCGTTTCGCATTACATGAAAGGTACCGCTTTAGCGATTTGTATCGACTCATTCCTACTTTGCGAAATTTCAGCCTTCCTGAACTTAGTAATCACATGTCTGTGCCTTTCGTTTCTTCCAGATGGTTTATTCCAATTAAAAACTCAAACTCAAGAGCTTTTTAATAAGGCACGTACTCAAAAGACTTATAAGACTCAGCTAGAGTGCTATTTAAATTTTTGTAAGCAATATGATATCTATACATTACCTATCAACACTGAGCTATTACTGTTTTAGGTAACTTATTAAGTAAGGATTAAGAATTTTCACCATTGCACTATTTTGCAATATTTAAATATTGTTGAAAGGAGGGGGAATTAATTGATTATGTAACTATGTTTTATTATATGTATGTAATTGTTTTGTAATTTTGGCAAGCTGGCCAATAAACTTCCCAACATCATATACCGCATATTGTGCTTGACTCAACACCCCGCATTACATTCGTCTTATATAACGAAGGAATCAAAATTAAAATTTTGTACCACTTCGATCAAAATATTAGGTATATTTTTTTCTTTGAACTCTAACATAAAAACTGAGCTAAATTTTGAATGTAAAATTTGCGAAATTGAAAAGGTCTTAAAACTGACTTTAATTGGTAAAAATATCATAATCAAAACCTTCTGTCTATCAAAACTAGCTCTACTGTTGCAATCAATATTTGTTCCGGAATACATTATGACAAAACTGTCTTCAATTTTCTGTAACTTTCTGTGGAATGGCCAAGATAAGATAAAGCGTGACGTTATGTATCAACCATGTGAAAAGGGGGGAATAAAGTTTATTAATATAAAGGAATTTCACACAAGTAAGGCAATATTTTGGATTAAAAAGATATTTCACGATACAGTCCAACCCTTGCTAATCACTTTAAATTTTAGTTTGCATCCATCTGATCCGCTTTTGTTAACAGTCTGCAATAGCGATAAAACAACACGCAGAATTCATTCCCCATTTTACAAACACATATTTAATAATTGGTACGAACTATTTAACAGGCATATAGATGAAACAACTGAAATCGAACACCAAATAATATTTCTAAATAAACATATAGACAAAGAAGTCAACATAACCACCATGAACAGGCTCATACAGAAAAATCTTTTATTCATATCTAATTTTATCAAACCATATAATAATATTAAAACTCTATCAGAAATAGAAAAATTAATATATCACGGTTACAGAACAAAAAGTCTAAAACTAATGAAATCCACTGAAAATAATGGTAACACTGATGAAATGAGCAATGACCTAATCCAAATAGACTGTGAAAATTTGACGGACTACGATCTCTACAAACAAACGTTTTTTTCTACATTACAAAACATTTAAGAAAATATACAACTTAGACTTCATAACCTGCAAAGCAAGACAAATCTATAATAAAAGATTATACGCAAACAAATTTTTTACACCCAAATCTTTCACAAAATGGCAGAGTTAAACATAGATTTAATAGAGAGCGATATACAAGAAGTGTTCAAACGATTACATTGCATCTGTATAGATGCCAAAATAAACAATTTTCAATATAAATATGTCCATAAAATTATTTATACTAATATCAAACTTTTTAAATTCAAACTAACGGATACAACTTTATGTACTTTTTGTAGCTCCGATCTTGAATCAGTCGAACACGTCTTTATCTACTGTACATTTGTTCATGAAATCTGGAATCATATTCGCAATATAATAGCAATAAATGATATCAACATCCAACTTACCAATAAAGCAATCCATTTAGGCATAGACCAAAATGATTTCGGAGACAATAATCAATATCACTTAATAAATCATATTATAATTCTGGGAAAGTATTTCATATTCAAATGCAAATGCTCAAATTCAAAACCGTCACTAAACCAATTCATTTCTTTTATTAAAACACAGACTATAATTGAAACAAAACAAAATAAAAATTTGATGAACAAATGGAAATATATTTACATCTAGAAACTCTAAAAATATTCTTATTCTTGCTCTACATTGTGAAGTATGTTTATCTTTATTTATTGACGGCTGTAATTAATTTGTAAATTTATCGTTTATATGGCCCTTTAGATCTTGAATTGACGTATACTTTAGGAAACATAATAGTGTATAAATGTAAATATATTGTATGTTTGAAGTAAAATATAAATAATAAAAAAAAAAAAAAAAAAAAAAAAAATTAAAGTTAGATTAAAATTTCGTCTCTGTTCTGTTTTCTGGTAGTTTAGTCTCAATGGACCGCCCCAATAGTGAATTTTTAAACCAATCAGAGCGTTTCATGTAAAACCTGTTTGGAATTGTGGAATAGCGAAACCCATATCAGCTGTCATGTTGCTCTTTTGAGGTTTCGATACTTAAAAAATCTTCTAGAAACATAAATAATATTTACCTTATCACGAAGACAAAGGTGCTTCGCCAATGGTTTCCCCTCCTCTGATTCGTAGGCAATTACTTTTGTCATTTTCATACATCGATCGTGATCAAAGCTACTCTTCATTCCTACCATCAGACAATCTCGGGCAAAATAATCCCATTTATCAACATCTACAGATGAAAGTTTATTTGAAACAATCTATAAATAGAAAAATACAACGTTCATACAATTCATTGATAAAATTGGTTTCCAATGTGTCACCTAACCCTTCGAATACATTTGACACTCCTGAGCAGATTTAACTCAAAATGGGATCTTCTATCAAAGCTAGTAACTGAATGATTCTTCATTGATAGCTATTTTAATCCATATATAATGAATATTTAACTTTTTAAAAGACACTAGGTATTAGATAAAGTTCAAATGTTGACTTACTTCATATAAATACGGATGGTCTGGTCTGCCAATTAATTTACATTCATCCTGAAATAAATGATCCAAGATTTCAGTATAGACATACAAATCTCTTATTTCTAATGTATAGCTATATAAACATATAGAGTAACAATCTAGATAAACCTATATCCTACTCTATAACAAGCTAGAGTAACAATCTAGATAAATCTATATCCTATCCTATAGCAAGCTAGAGTAACAATCTAGATAAACCTATATCATACTCTATAGCAAGCTAGAGTAACAATCTAGATAAACCTATATCCTACTCTATAGCAAGCTAGAGTAACAATCTAGATAAACTTATATCATACTCTATAGAACCTATATCCTACACTATAGCAAGCCAGAGTTACAATCTAGATAAACCTATTTCATATCCTATAACAAGCTAGAGTAACAATCTAGATAAACCTATATCCTACTCTATAGCAAGCTAGAGTAACAATTTAGATAAACCTATATCCTACTCTATAGCAAGCTAGAGTAACAATCTAGATAAACCTATATCCTATCCTATAAAAAGCAGAGTAACAATCTAGATAAACCTATATCCTACTCTATAGCAAGATAGATTAACAATCTAGATAAACCTATATCCTACTCTATAGCAAGCTAGAGTAACAATCTAGATAAACCTATATCATACTCTATAGCAAGCTAGAGTAACAATCTAGATAAACCTATATCCTACTCTATAACAAGCTAGAGTAACAAACTAGGTAAACCTATATCCTACTCTATAACAAGCTAGAGTAACAATCTAGATAAACCTATATCCTACTCTATAACAATCTAGAGTAACAATCTAGATAAACCTATATCCTACTCTATAGCAAGCTAGAGTAACAATCTAGGTAAACCTATATCCTACTCTATAGCAAGCTAGAATTACAGTCTAGATAAACCTATATCCTACTCTAAAACAAGCTAGAGTAACAATTTAGATAAACCTATATCCTACTCTATAGCAAGCTAGAGTAACAGTCTAGGTAAACCTATATCCTACTCTATAACAAGCTAGAGTAACAATCTAGATAAACCTATATCCTACACTATAGCAAGCCAGAGTTACAATCTAGATAAACCTATATCCTACTCTATAGCAAGCTAAAGTAACAATCTAGATAAACCTATATCCTACTCTATAGCAAGCTAGAGTAACAATCTAGATAAACCTATATCCTACTCTATAACAAGCTAGAGTAACAATCTAGATAAACCTATATCCTACACTATAGCAAGCCAGAGTAATAATCTAGATAAACCTATATCCTACCCTACAGCAAGCTATAGTAACAATCTAGATAAACCTAGATCATGCTCTATAGCAAGCTAGAGTAACAATCTAGATAAACCTATATCCTACACTATAGCAAGCCAGAGTTACAATCTAGATAAACCTATATCCTACTCTATAGCAAGCTAGAGTAACAATCCAGATAAACCTATATTCTACTCTATAGCAAGCTAGAGTAACAATTTAGATAAACCTATATCCTACTGTATAGCAAGCTAGAGTAACAATCTAGATAAACCTATATCCTACACTATAGCAAGCCAGAGTAATAATCTAGATAAACCTATATCCTACCCTACAGCAAGCTATAGTAACAATCTAGATAAACCTAGATCATGCCCTATAGCCGGATACAGTGGCTAACATAGTAATGAGAGTTTTTCAATTTCTTCGTGAGAAACACTATTGCAAAGAGGTCCACTTATATTTAGTTTAATTTACGGGATGTAGATTACCTACTGTTTTCATCCGATTTTGGATGAGATTTTCGTCAAATGGATTATGTTAAGTTTGTTTGGATTTAGTTATTTTGCGTGTGTTTGACATTAGTTTTGATTATCATGTTCATCAACTTTAGTCATACATATATGTCTTGCTGTTTTTTATTATTACAAACATCTAAATGCTTTTGTCGAAATCAATATCGTTGGCAAAATGTCTTTCTATATTAATCAAAAACAAATTTTAGAGTATGTCTTCAGCCATTATAGATCTCAGACAATACATAAAATATAATTAAATGATTTGAGTCTATATTTTGGTAGTGTTAGTAGTGTTGTCAAACTTTAATTCAAGCTAACTGTTATGGAACATCCGATGTCAATCAGAAAATGTTTTGGAATCTCTATATATCTATTGTTTATTTGCAATATTTATTTCAATCTGAAAGCCAGAATGGGGACTGTCTGTCGCTTATTCCAATTAACCGAACTCGCATGGGATGTAGGGAGTTTGATTACTAACAGTAGCTAACCTTATCTGATTTCTCACTGGAGCTTGGAACAGACGTGGAATCTTCCTTCTTTAAATAAACAAACATAGTTCACTTGTTAAGATCAACGGTTTCTCAGTTTATGAGTTTAGATATTAGTTTTAATTATCATGGTCATCAACTTTAGTCATCCATATATGGCTTTCTGTTTTTCATCATTACAAACATCTTAATACTTTTGTTGAAATCAAAATGTCTTTCTATATTAATTAAAGACAAATTTTAGAGTATGTCTTCAACCGTGATAGATCTCAGACAATGAATAAAATATAATTAAATGATTTGACAGACTGGTGCACTAATTTTTTGTCAATAAAAATTGTTAGAGGATATGACAAATGATATGAATTATGAAATATTATTATAGGAGAATATAATAGGGCTACGATTTCAATTTAAAAACATACAGTTATAGGATAGTATATCAGTACAAAGATACGATTTCATTATTAAATGTGAAAAAAACAGTTACAATATTAGGAATTTAGACAGAAAATTTATTAACAAAAATGTAAAAATAAATCTGCCACTACCGATTTTAAATCCAATCACATTTAAACATTATACCAAAATAACAAAAAATAACAAACCGGTAAAATTCCATAAATTAATTCTTTTATGAATTTTAAATCTGTGTCTAATGTCTCCTCACTGAAACCATGTTCAATAAATTTAGGTCTCAAATTATTAACTTCAATAAGGTGATCAAACATTTTAATAGAGGCCTCCTCGTGCTGAAAGGAAAAAATATCCGTGACATTGAAACCGTAAATAAAAAGACAGTGAACCAAATATTCTGGTTTATACTGGAGAATTTTCCTGAGTAAAATCAGTTGAAACTCAATGAATGTGGCTCAGACTTTTCACAAAAGTATACATGGCTTGTTGGTGCAGTTTTATGCCAATCTTTAATTAAATACCAAATATAAACATACTTACAGTCCAAGTGGTTTTTGGTTTCATTCGAGGTATAAACTGCTGATCAAATACGTGTGACAATGGCCCATGACCTTTAATATAGAAACAACCAAAATATACTTGCAGTTCCCATGAAACATTCAATATATAAAACATTCTCAAATTCAACACCTTCAAGATTTCAGTCACCAATAGAGATGATCCAACTTTAAATGGAAAATAGCATTACAAGCAACTTCGTTCAATTTTTAGTATATATCAATAGCAGCTTTTGATTGAAAATAGGAATGGTGCAAATTGATGATGTCAGTGTCTACGATACACATAAAAAGCAGAAAAACATCTTTACAATCTCTTTAATGATAAAGCCAAATTTCATTTTATATCAGATGAAAATTGTAATTTCTATTGTGTTCACAGAACAACATAATGCAAACCTTAACTAGTCTATTTTGCTTGATTTAATGTCGACTAAATACTTGATAAATATTCGCACAGTAAAGACAATGCCATTTATCAAAGTATGGCAAAATCGAAAAGAGTAAGATTTGCTTCATGCACGACACCCGTTACTACTGTATAGGTCAACATCATGAGATACAATCAGATCAACTTATGTTGATTAAACAAACCAATTGAGATGCAAGAAACAGATTTGTGATATTTGCAAAAAAAGTTTGTCATTACAACCATACAATTTTCTCAATGAAGTTTGAAAGTCTACGAGTCAAGTAACCTGATTAAGCAATTTCAAAGTCAAAACTCGATCCATAGCCAGAAAGTCTATCTTGAACAAGCAGTGGTGGCATGGCGGTGAAACGTGTAATGTGTAAAAATATTAAAATCATACTGAGATATAAAATAAAGGATACATTGATTTATTGTTAAATTTCAAAAAGGTTGATAATAATATTGAAATGAACGATTCAAATCTTTATTAAAAAAAAGCTAAAATCAAAAAATTAAAAATGTATCCTTTCTTTTGCCGTTTAGAATACGTTACCCAGATCATGACAGAGGCCGGCGATCGTAACACATAATATATCAACTGGTGTAATATCTAACTCTGGTTGTTTCTGGTGTAGGTGTTCCATCATTTTTTTTGCTAGGTGAGCTACCCTATGAAATATATTTAATAAAGTATATAAATATGCAACAATTAGCTATTAAGTTTCGTTTGTGTCTCTCTGTTATGATCGACAGATATATTGTTTTATATCTTGTGCTGGTATAGTCATACGGGCCGAAGGCCTGTTGGGGGAGCAGGCTGGTTTGCCCGAAATTGTCCTACGAATTTTATCTTTCATTATTATTATATATATTATTTTCCTTTGTTTTCTGGATAATATTTGGAATATATCAGGAAGTTTCAAAAGGTCCAAAAGCCACGGGACAAGGTCTCGGGTCACTCTCGGAGCTGTTCAGTTATAGCTTGAATTATTATTTTATGTTTATATAATATGTGTATAAAATATAACTTACCCTATAGAATGTTCAAATCTATTGTGTGTTGCTCCTGGAAACACAGAGTACCCACCACCGAGTTGTTTTATACGTCGCAGTCTTTGAAACTGTGGTGTATCTATTATTCGCACACACAGTGGATGCAGTTCAATAGTACCATGGACAGGGTCGTTAAATATCTGTAATAAATTAGTTAACAAGGATTAGAAAGGTTCGTATGACATAATGTTCATAGACATTATAAAGATAGTGTCAAATACAATACTGTCACATTAGTCAAGCAATGATATTTATGTACGCAAAACAGTCTATATTTAGCTATTTAAGGTACATGACGCTTTTTTGTAGGTCGAAATTTTTTTTGATCAAAATTGTTAAAATTATACACCAAAATCTAAAGAAATTTGTCCTTAAACGTATCTGAAAGAATCCAGCAGTTAATTTCTAAATGCCAAAAATATTAAAAAAGGTCGTTATGCTATTTGGAAGCTGTTAAAAAACTACTTTACGGATTTGAGTAAAATAAACTCCTAATTGTAGAAATATGTCTCCTACGTATTCTGAAGGTTTCAACTAATAATACCGAGCCATTATAAAGTCAAATACCAAAACTAAGTCAAACTGCTTCATTATTTTTTTATGTTTTTAATTATCCCTTTTAAACAAATTCAGTTTGATCAAGTAGATACACAGATATAAAAAACATATTTTAAAAATATTTTGAGGTATAATTTACGACGTTTTCGATAATGAAAACTTCTTTACAAAAAGCGAAATACCGATATATAATAAGTATGTCAACATTTTCATTCAAGTATGGGTCGCAAATGTATTTGTGGGGTCGTACAGTAGTGCAGTTAGAACTATGGCCTCGGATTCTTGGAAATCGTGATTGATTCGAAGAACTGGTCGCCTATCGATCAGCGTGCCTCGAAACTAGATGCTTCCTTAACGCAGCATCGTGCCCAGTTGGTTGGGTAAATATGGAGTGAAGGAGGTCCATGGACGGGCAGTATGTGTGAAATGTCAACATGCGGCGGAATTCTGGCTGAGTTTGAGAAGTATTCATTATCCAAAAGCCAAAGCAACGGCAGATGGCATTCATCAAAACAAACACTACGTGATTGAATTTGGACACCACTATTATAAGGATGCTGCGAGCGATGCTGGGTATGCTCACTCTTGTGGAATAGTTTGCCAGCTCTATATATCTAATAATGCTTATTTTTGGTGTATTTATTCCAATTGAATATGAAAGACAGACAGGGAACTATCTTATTGCAGTAAACCGTACTCGTATGGGGTGTAGGGAGTTTGATCTGGTAACTGAAGCTAACCTTTAAAATAATTTCATCTGTTTTACTTTCTTGACTGGGGTTTTGACCTGACGATGAATCCATATTTACCCCTACAACAAAGATATAAAAAGAAGAAAGACTTTTAAAATTACAGTTAATGTAATTGCACTCTAATAAATACCAAAAAATTTTGACTTGGGCTGCCCCCTTGAAAATGTCAGGCATTTTCGGGAGGGGTCAACAAATGTCAAACAGGGGTCAAAATTCAAATATATTCCAATCATGTCGATATGTATATCAAATTACTCGTCTAGCCATGAGGATTCAAACAATGTATAATTTGTTATACCTCCGACCCTAAATGAGGGTGCTATGGTTCAAAACGACGACTGGCGCTCAAATTTTATTGTCTAACGATATGTTTTCTGACAAGGCAAATTCAAATAAACAACTTTTAAAAGTAAATATTTCATGAAAATTGTTCGATTTACTTGATTTTCTCCTACCCTTGCTTGATGAAATTGTAACAGGTGAATGGAAGTGGTCGTCTTTTCGTTACATTTCCTCATGGAATTAGCCGTATGAGAATTAAATGTCATTTGTAACCAATTTTTGGGTAAACATGTATTAGTCATTCTTTAAAAGTCTATTGACCTGAGTACCTGTGTTTCACCATACAAAGTCCCATCATAATATACACACATATATACCTTACATTTCACCATACAAAGTCCCATCTTAATATACACACATATATACCTTACATTTCACCATACAAAGTGTCATCTTAATATACACACATATATACCTTACATTTCACCATACAAAGTCCCATCTTAATATACACACATATATACCTTACATTCCACCATACAAAGTCCCATCATAATATACACACATATATACCTTACATTTCACCATACAAAGTGTCATCTTAATATACACACATATATACCTTACATAAAGTCCCATCTTAATATACACACATATATACCTTACATTTCACCATACAAAGTCCCATCATAATATACACACATATATACCTTACATTCCACCATACAAAGTCCCATCATAATATACACACATATATACCTTACATTTCACCATACAAAGTCCCATCTTAATATACACACATATATACCTTACATTTCACCATACAAAGTCCCATCATAATATACACACATATATACCTTACATTTCACCATACAAAGTCCCATCTTAATATACACACATATATACCTTACATTTCACCATACAAAGTCCCATCTTAATATACACACATATATACCTTACATTCCACCATACAAAGTCCCATCATAATATACACACATATATACCTTACATTTCACCATACAAAGTCCCATCTTAATATACACACATATATACCTTACATTCCACCATACAAAGTCCCATCATAATATACACACATATATACCTTACATTTCACCATACAAAGTCCCATCTTAATATACACACATATATACCTTACATTTCACCATACAAAGTCCCATCTTAATATACACACATATATACCTTACATTTCACCATACAAAGTCCCATCTTAATATACACACATATATACCTTACATTTCACCATACAAAGTCCCATCTTAATATACACACATATATACCTTACATTTCACCATACAAAGTCCCATCATAATATACACACATATATACCTTACATACAAAGTCCCATCTTAATATACACACATATATACCTTACATTTCACCATACAAAGTGCCATCTTAATATACACACATATATACCTTACATTTCACCATACAAAGTGCCATCTTAATATACACACATATATACCTTACATTTCACCATACAATGTCCCATCATAATATACACACATATATACCTTACATTTCACCATACAAAGTCCCATCATAATATACCACAGGGAATCAACAAGCCATTTCTAGGAATCTAAACAAATATATAATGTGATAACATTGAGTTTGAAGCTACTTCAACCACCGACAAGATTTCAACCAAAGACAAGAGTCCAATCCTGTGGTGAAACTCTTCTTCAAACTTATCCAATGTCTGCATCATGCCTCTGTAATTTCTAAGCAAGCAAATGGTCAACCAACTCGTGGATTTCTTTTTAAAATTAACGATCTTATTAAGCCTGCTCTCAGGAATTCAAAATTTGCCGCCTCTATTGACTCCATCAATGGAGGTCGGACCAAAGACGTGGCATTGGCTCTAAAGAATCATTATGATTCAATGCCTGCTGACAAAATTACTATGATAAAGTCACGCAACCTCTCTGAACAAAATTTCAATCAATATTCTAAAGAAGCGATCAATTGGGCAAAAAAGTCTTATAAGCGACTCCAAAATCAAAATCTTGAAAAATACTCGCAAATATTGGCTGTTTTTTTTTAAAGATTCTGACCCTATTTCGACTTCCGGTATTGATGCAGATATGATAGTTGACACTCCAACTTCTCCTTATAAACGAGCTCAACCACCTAAAAACCAACCAATAGCATCCTCCCGAAAGCGACAGAGACACCGACACCTTCTTCCTTACCTAGTACTTCTACTTACCCACAACCAACTCCAAGCAAATAACAATACTACCAATTTACCCACCTCCCCTTTTGCTCCAATCTCCAATTCTGTTAGACCTCTATCTACAAGTTCACCTGCTACCCCATTAAGACCTAGATCCAACCTTGAACTCCAAGATCATCAACCAATTCTACTGTCCGTCTACGTCTAAGCTTACGTTCTAAATCAACAAACCATCCTCGTCGCCATGATTGTAACAAGAACAAATCAACATGGACACTCCCTGAAATAACCAAACCAACAATTATCATAGGATCTTCCAATATTTCCCGAATAACAGATGTCAACCAGGACACCCAAGCTGAATCTTATCCCGGATCCAATATTAACCACATCATCGATATCCTTACAAAGATTAATCCAACAACAATACCATCCAAAGTTCTTCTCCATATTGGCCTCAACAACAAGAATGAACCAGGTGAATCCATCCACAGACAGATGCTGGAATTGCTATCACTCGCCAAAACCAAATACCCATCAGCCAACGTATTCGCTACCCAGATACCAGTTTCTTCCATCCTCCAACGCCAGAGACCAAATTTAGCCGCCAACTTACGAAAATTCAACGACCTTCTTTTTCATAAGCCATCTCCATTGCAAAGACTATGCCGCGATTCAATGGAATGATCGAGGTAAACCATTTAGATCTCATCCACTGGACGGCCCACTGCCAAATCTGTATATTTAAATTGGGTCTCCCATTTAAACTAAACGCGGGGGGAAATATTCCAAAATTAGGACAAACTGTTGTCAATTTAAGTCCACGAATACTTTCTCCCCTTGAAGAAGGACTTCTGGACAAAGGGTTAACCTTTATAACCACCCATAAACCTGTTGTATAGTCAATTCATATGTTATATTATGGCATGTATTTCCTTCCATACATTATTATGTAAACTCTAGTTAGAGTGATCTCCCTTTGTTGTTAGAATGTAGACCAAGAAGAGAAAACCACGTTTATTTTGAAACTGCCTTTTATTATGCTTTCTTCCCATCTTACAAGTACAAATACTATTCAATTATGTATCGAAAGTCCCGATACAACAAAACCATTTTCGATTGAACCAATTTTTACGTCGGTAACTGAAGTTCAGCGAACATTTAAATTGAATGATTATTTTCGCGAAAAATTTGGCCGCGGCAAACGCATCAAATTTACGGATAGATCTGGATGGAATCCACCAGATTGACCAAGATATTTTAACTATTTGCGACAATTTCACATTTGCTTTTGTTAAATGAGAAAAACAATCTTGCCAATTTTGAACGAAAATCTCTCAATAATCTAAAAAATGTCAAAAACATTATCATCAGGAAAAGTGACAAAGGCAGTTGCTGCGTCATTCAAAATCACGATGACTACATTTTTGAAATCACTGTCGCCAACTTGATACACCTATTTTTATGGAAACTGCGCGAGAATAAACAATATTCTACAAAATTTGGTAAAAAAAGAAATTTCAGAAAAGCAATATGACTACCTTTCCGCGTCCAACGAGCCTCGCCAACGACACATTTACACGCTTCCGAAAATCATAAAAATCCCGAAACTGAGTGGTAGGTGGCCAACAAAATTCCTAAAGGTAGAACAATCAGAAATGATACCGAGTTTCAGAATACATAGATTACTTTTTGTTGCCACTAGCATGCAAACATCCTTCTTATATGAAAGACACAACCGATTTTGTTGAAAAAATCAAGAAATTGGACATTCCCGAAAACGCGTATTTCATTTCTTTGGACGTAACCGGTATGTATACCAACATTGACAACAATGTTGGTCTTGACGACGCCCGTAAGGCATTTGTTCGATATCCGTGTTCTGATCGACCCGATACAGAGATTTTAGATTTATTTAAACTATGTTTAACGCGCAATGACTTCTTTTTTAATGGAAAAATGTATTTACAAACATCTGGAACTGTTATGGGCAAACGATTTTCCCCTAGTTATGCCAATATTTTCATGGCCGGGTGGGAGAGGGAGATAGAAAATATCTCACCGTTTAAACCTTTATTTTATGGAAGGTTTCTTGACGATATTTTTATCATTTGGTCCGATACTCTAGAACATTTTTGGGAATATTTCGAAATTTTAAACAACCACCACCCTTCTGTGAAATTGACAGCAAATATCAGCGAAAACAGCATGGATTTTTTGGACACTACAACTTTATTTCTTCTAAAAAATTAGACATTAAATTATTCTTTAAGGAAACTGATACACACCAACTTTTATACAAAAGCTCGTTCCACCCCAAGCACACATTTTCTGGAATAATTAAATCACAAATTCTAAGATTTCATAGAAGTTGCACTCAACAGGCTGATTTTGAATCCGCCTGTAAACTAGTTTTTGACAAATTAAGGGAGAGGGGTTATTCCAAAACATTTCTTCGAAAAATTAAGAATGACACGCTTTCCGACATTTTGAGAAAACAATGACCTCCTCCACCTTTTATTGGATTCGGTTCATTGCCCTGTGGAGGTCCTACTTGTCGCACATGCGAACACATATCATATACCTAATTTCTTGTAAAAAATGCGTCTGCTCTCGATATGTTGGCGAGAATTAAAACGCGCTTCAAACGCGACTCAATGGCCATCGCTATGATATAGTGCTTGGCAAGGATAGACCAATTGCGAATCACTTCAACCTTCCCGATCATTCCATTGATGACCTTCTCATCATGCCTATAAAAACAGTTTCTACATCACCTAGCATGAAACCTAAGCTTAGACGCCTACAACGTGAAAGTTACGGGATCTATCAATTACAGACTGTGAGGCCAAATAGACTCAACATTCAACACGATAACCAGACAATACCCTTTATAATGACATTTGATTCTACAGCTACGAAAGCCTCCATAATAGTCAAACGCCATTACTCAGAACTTCAGAACAAATTTCCCCATGTATACACAAAACGTTTGGTTGTAGCTTACAAAAGAAATCAAAATCTTAGCAATTTCCTCTCACGGTAGACTTGAACCATTGAACAATGTCCATTCATCTTAGGAGCAGATATTTCTTCATATAAATATATCATGTTATATCAATAGATTAATCGATTTCTAAGTTAGATTTCAGGGAATACTTATTTCAGGACTGGTGCCATGGCTATATATAGTATATTATATAACATGCAGTGTATGTTTGTGTGTGTGTCTTTTTAACTAAAATCATACTAATGACTAACTAATTTTCACATAATTAATAGACTTATCTATTGCTCTGTGACCTAGGCCAGTACTTTCATTGAGACTCGTCTCAATACGCCCTTACACAAAATTACAGGTGAAATATGTCAGAGGAAAGTAAAGCAGTTGGCTCTCAAACTCAGACATGTACATTTTAGAGTCTTTTTAATATGTTATTATCTATCTTTTATAGCTAGGTGGCGTACAAACGCTGAATAGTTTTCCTCGTTAAAACAATTTGTTTTTTATTTTCAGTTCAAGATGATGTCAATCGGATTTATTTAAGTGCATTAGAATCATATATAAACTATCACCAGGAACATTTGAATCATTATCTGTATTTAAAGGAAATATTGATACTTGAGGATTTGAAAACAATTGAGAATTATCATCTAGAAAACATGGAAACATTGTGTAAGAAACCCAAAAATCTCAATTTCAACTTAATTATTTCTTCTAGTGAGGGGGTGTTAAAAAACCTAAAAAAATGTAGAAGTGATATGGAAATTCCCACGGAAATCAAACCATATGACAAATATTAATGAGGATGAAAGTGTGAAGAAAACAGTAATCAACTGTGACAATTTTTTTAAACAAAACTCTGTACGGTCAATTAAAGCATATATGTAACTTTTGGACATTGGCTTCAGAAACTATTCATATTAATTTTGGGTTTTTTAGTTATTTCGTTAAAACAAAATTGGAGTAGGAAATTACGACAACTTGCAAAACTCTGCAATAGTTACCCAAGGTTTCAAAATGTATCAATTCCAATTTCGAGATTACTTGGAATGATGCCAAAAATTGAACGGGAACTAAAAGATAATCTTGAGCAACAAAGCTTTTGGAAAATAATGTAAATCAAATTATAATGTCAGTCTTATAAATTGAATTTGAAGAAAGTATGATGATTGTACGGAAGCGTATAAGGGCCATTAATTTTTTTTTTTTTGGAATTTTCAAGATAGTAACTTGAATTTTCAAGCTAGTGTGTTGAATTTTCAAGCTAGTATGTTGAATTTTCAAGTTAGTATGTTGAATTTTCAAGTTAGTATGTTGAATTTTCAAGTTCGTATATTGAATTTTCAAGTTAGTATGTTGAATTTTCAAGTTAGTATGTTAAATTTTCAAGTACGTATATTGAATTTTCAAGTTAGTATGTTGAATCTTCAAGTTAGTATGTTGAATTTTCAAGTTAGTATGTTGAATTTTCAAGTTAGTATATTGAATTTTCAAGTTAGTATGTTGAATTTTCAAGTTAGTATGTTGAATTTTCAAGTTAGTGTATTGAATTTTCAAGTTAGTATGTTCAAGTTAGTATGTTGAATTTTCAAGTTAGTATATTGAATTTTCAAGTTAGTATGTTGAATTTTCAAGTTAGTATGTTGAATTTTCAAGTTAGAATGTTGAATTTTCAAGTTAGTATGTTGAATTTTCAAGTTAGTATGTTGAATTTTCAAGTTAGTATATTGAATTTTCAAGTTAGTATGTTGAATTTTCAAGTTAGTATGTTGAATTTTCAAGTTAGTATGTTGAATTTTCAAGCTAGTATATTGAATTTTCAAGTTAGTATGTTGAATTTTCAAGTTAGTATGTTGAATTTTCAAGCTAGTATGTTGAATTTTCAAGTTAGTATGTTGAATTTTCAAGCTAGTATATTGAATTTTCAAGTTAGTATGTTGAATTTTCAAGTTAGTATGTTGAATTTTCAAGTTAGTATGTTGAATTTTCAAGTTAGTATTTTGAATTTTCAAGCTAGTATGTTGAATTTTCAGTTAGTATGTTGAATTTTCAAGCTAGTATAATGAATTTTCAAGTTAGTATCAATTTAGTATGTTGAATTTTCAAGTTAGTATGTTGAATTTTCAAGCTAGTATGTTGAATTTTCAACGCTAGTATGTTGAATTTTCTAGTTAGTATG